CTCCTCTCAAAACCTTTTTGCTTTCACTTGGACTGACGCTGATACATGCTACTCCCAACAACTCACGTGGACTGTCCTCCCCCAGGGGTTTAGGGACAGCCCTGAGTATTTTGGTCAGGCGCTTCGATTGCACCGTTCCCAACTACCTCTACGACCCAGCGTCTTGTTTCAATATATGGACAATTTACTTCTTTGTAGTCCCTCTCTAGAACATTGTATTCAACACACAGCCAGGCTTTTAAATTTGTTGGCTGAATGTGGGTACCAGGTATCCAAAAGGAAGGCCCAATTAACCTCTCCAAATGTTTCATAGCTAGGATTAATTATAACTCCAAATACCCAGGAAATTCCACTAGCATGAAAGCAAGACATTCAACAAATCCCATTTCCTAAGACAAAAAGGGACTTACTTTCTTTCCTCAAATTAGTGGGATATTTCTGATGATAGATAGCAAATTTTGCCACTGTCACTAAACCTCTTTATGAACACACAAGAGGAAATCTTGACCAACCACTCACTCCCACCCCAGACCTTTATCATGCTTTCTGTCACCTAAAATGTGCCTTATTACAGACCCCCCACTTTAGGCCTTCCAAACCTCCTAAGAACTTTTCATCTATATTTACACAGTTCTCATAATCAGGCCCTTGGACTATTAGCCCAATCCATGGGAGATTCCCTCCAACCAGTGGCATATTCTTCAAAACAACTAGATCCCATTTACAAAACCTGGCACCTTTGCTTAAAAATTTTTGCCACAGCCTCTTTAATTATCCCTGAGGCACAAACTCACATTCTACGAACGTCGTCAGGTATTTTCTTCTCACGGTCTACAAGATATGCTCAGCCGTAAGGCGCTCACCTCCATCTCATCCTCTCGCATGCAAGCCCTACATTCAACCCTCCTTCAGCCCTCCATCTCTCTTCATAGATGCTCACCCCCCAATCCTGCTACTCTTTTATCTTCAACACTGATTTTGGACCCTGACCAACACTCATGCTCTGATCTAATTGAAAGTTCTCGCAACATGTTTTGCCACCTTACTTCCACTCACATAAAGGGAGCCCCAGATTGATTTATAGATGGCAGCGCATCAAAAAACCCTCCCCTACAAGCAGGATATCCCGTCATTGAGAGATATCATGATGATACCCGCTCTCTTCCACCTAGAAGAGTTGTAGAGGCTGCCCCCTTGCCTTTGGGCACATCCTCCCAACAAGCAGAATTAGTTGCCCTAATAAGAGCATTAACCCTAGCAAAAAACACACAAGTTAATATATACCACCGATTCTAAATATGCCTATAACATCAACCATTCCAATGCCCAGATTTGGAGCAAGAGGGGCTATCTCACAGCTAAGGGAACTCCTATCATTAATGGAAAACTAATCCATCCTCCATTAAAGGCTGCTCTACTTCCAGAAAAGGTTGCAGTTATCCATTACAAATGACATCAATCAGATAAAAGCCACATTTCTTTAGGGAACTGTGAGGTTGACTACTGGGCAAAACATACCTCAACCCATCATCCAATTCTCCAATATCTATTTCCCCTCACACAACATATCCCCTCCTTTTATCCCAAATACACCAAATACAACAACTAATCACAGCAGGGGCACAATTCAAACTCCCATACCGGTTCATACAAAACAAATTAGTCCTACCTGACCCTGAAAAAACAACTCTTGGCCAGGCGCAGTGGCTCACGCCTGTAATCCCAACACTTTGGGAGGCCAAGGTGGGTGGATCACGAGGTCAGGAGTTTGAGACCAGCCTGACCAACATGGTGAAACCCTGTCTCTACTAAAAATACAAAACTAGCCGGCCGTAGTGGTGCGCGCCTGTAATTCCAGCTACTCCGGAGGCTGAGGCAGGAGAATCACTTGAACTCCGGAGGTGGAGGTTGCAGTGAGCTGAGATCATGCCATTGCACTCCAGCCTGGGCGACAGAGCAAGACTCTGTCTCAAAAAAACAAACAAACAAACAAACAAAAAAACTCTGTTATGGGACATCCACAACCTCTTCCACACTAGCCATTCCCCTCTACAACATTTCTTAAGTTTCCACATACACATAAACCCAGATATAAAGGAACAGTTGAAAGCCATTTTCCATCAATGCTCTATTTGCCAGAAAGCTTCACCCCACTTCAACACTAGACTCCCTTCTTTTCCAACCCATCAAGATAGGGGAACCTTCCAAGACAAGACTGGCAAATTGATTTTACCCATATGCCCCCAGTAAAAAAGGTTCGATTTCTTTTGGTTCTGGTTGATACCTTTTCGGGATGGGTTGAGGCTTTTCCGACAACCAAGAAATGAGCTTCGACTGTCACCTCCAAATTAATAACAGAAATCATCCCCTGGTTCAGGGTGCCTCTTTCTTTTCAATCTGAAAATGGTCCTGAATTCATTTCTCAAATTACTCAAACACTTGCACAAACCCTACGAATCACCTGGAAGCTACACATCCCCTATCAACCTCAATCTTCAGGAAAGGTTGAAAAAATGAATGGCATTCTAAAAAGCACCCTCACCAGGTATTCACTCCAAACACATAAAGACTGGGTTACACTTTTACCTTTGGCCCTTCTGAAAATTCGGGCACTCCCACGGAAGCCTTTAATGCTCAGCCCCTCTGAACTCATACATGGGAGTTTTGAGCATGAGTATGTGAACTCATGCTCCTTTTGTTCCACCTCGGGGTCAAGCCCCACCTCTAACAACCCCTCTCATTTCCCTTCTTCTGCATACCATCCACCATTTCATTTGGGAATATGCTGACAAATACTTGCCACAACCTGTCACCATCTCCTTTAATCCCTTCCTACAGTCAGGAAACTGGGTTCTGGTAAAAGGTCCCAGCCCTACACGAATCCCAGAGGAAAAAGAACAGAAATTCACCTAAGCAGCTACGTCTCTTTCTCTTTCAAACTTTCATTGCTTCCTAACTAACCTTGTTACAGACCTTCTGTAGAGGACTATGTGCTCACAAACGAGACGTTCCCAATAAGTACTGCTCTTGCAAACGAAGCAGGGCGTTCCTTCCCTGCAAACAGGGAGGACAAAGGAGCCAGCTGCAAACAGCAGGACCTGGGGACTGGTTAATGTGTAAACATCTTGAGAAACCAGCAAGTCAGGAAAAGGTCAGAAAAACAACATGTGACTTGTGACTTGGCAACATTCCACAACCAAAATTGTATAAAATAAAGCAGAGCGTGCCATTTGGGGCGGCCGCCATGTTTGTCTCGTCCTATGTTGTCTTGTGTGTTCATTCCTTTGTTTAGGAAACACGCGGACCCCAACACCTTCAGTGGTAGCCTTACAAAACTCTCATTATACATCCTGATCAGCTCCTTACTATTCCACGGGATTTATGGCTTCAAGGAACTTTCCAGGACTTTACTCCTACCCAAATAACTTTTTCCTCCTTTTGCTTGTTTCTTTCAATCTAAATTCCCTAATCACATCAACCTCACCAATAGAATCACTCCTCACTGCTATCAAACTAGAACGTTCTGTAAACCTTACACAATCCCTCTTGCTGCAAGCTAACTCTTCCTTTGCTCCAGAATGCTAGATGTGTTTATCACTGTCTTCCTCAGCTTATACATCCCTTCCTACACCCCTTCATGACCTTTTAACAGAAAACATAACCCTAATCTATAAATTCCTTTTTTGAAAGAGTTGACCCTCTGGTCGGCGATTATCCCACTTCCAGGGCCAATCAGGCCAACAAATTATTTCAAACCTATTACAACTCCCTACAACGCCTTAAGTCACAAGACCCTCCCATTGAAGGGCCTCTAATTAAACACACCTGCCTTTGACAAGAAGCCTCACTTTGCTTTTTAGCCTCTGAGGGAAATTTCCCTGTAAGATGTTAACACTTAACCAATGCAACTGCATTATCATTGTTAAACACCCCGCTGACCATCACACTAACCAAGTTGACTACCAAGTATCACCTGAAGTGAATGGAGCATTTCTGCAACCCGCTCGTTCTACAGCCCCTCCCTCAACCAATGCCTCTGGCCTAATTTGTGCTGTCCCTAGAGCCCACCTTTATCCATGGCTCAATATTAATGGTGCAACATCTAATCGCATTAAGTATGTAAAAAAATAACTCTTCCTATATTGCTACTATAGTGGGTGTCTCCTTGACCTCCTCCTTGTCCACTTGGAGTAATGAACCACAGGAAAGAAAAAACATCCCATCTTTAATTCACTTGTTTTCTTTCCGTATCTCCACCTATATTTATGACAAAGGCTTATTTTTTGTGTGTGGCACCAACACGTATCTTTGTCTCCCTACCAACTGGACTGGAACCTGTACCCCAGTTTATCTTTCTCCCTCCATTGGAAAAGTTCCTCCCAGCCAAACTTTGCCTGTTCCATTCATCCAATATGTTAGGAAGAGGAGGGTCATCCATGTCATTCCTTTAATGGCTGCCTTGGATATAACCTCCAGACTTGGATTCGGAGCAGGCAGATTGGCCACTTCCTTAACACACTTTAAAGCTCTTTCCACAGAATTACAGGGTTCTTTAGAGGATATGGCCTGAAGCATTATAAGAGTCCAAGACAAACTAGACTCCTCGGCTGGAGTAGTCCTCCAAAATAGATGGGGACTAGATCTAATAACGGCTGAAAAAGGGGACCTCTGCCTCTCATTGGGTGAGGAATGTTGCTTTTATCTCAACCAATCAGGGCTAGTAAAAGACGCTGATGAAAAACTTAAATAAAGGGCTAAAAAGCTAAGGGAATATCAAAACAACTGAATAGATTGTTGGTTTGGGAACAAAATCATAACGTGGGTCATCCCATTCCTGGGCCCCCTCCTAATGAAATGCCTGAGACTCATGTTCTGACCCTGCCTAGTTAACCTTATTCAAAGATCTTCAACCAACAGGATCATGGCCATTTCACAGACAACTACCAAAAAACATCTACCTATAGCATTACCCCTTCTTTCTTCAGCACTTACAATCTTACCTTGCATCCTCAGTATACTTTGGTCCTTTCATGTCAGGAGGGTCAAATGTAGGTGCCAAAGATCTAAAAATTAAGAGTTGAATGTAAAACTCAAATAAAATTGAAATTAAATATAACTTGTTTGTGTTAATGTTAACCTTTTTCTTTCTTTTTTTTTTTTTTTTCTTCAGAGGCAAGGTCTCACCCCATCTCCCAGCCTGGAGTGCAGTCGTTTGATCATAGCTCACTACAACTTTGAAATTCTGGGCTCGGAGGAGATCCTCCCACCTCAGCCTCCCAGGTCGCTGCGACTACAGGCAGGTGCCACCATACCCGACTAATTCTTTTTACTTTTTATAGAGACAGGGTCTCTCTATGTTACCCAGTCTGGTCTCGAACTCCTGGACCCAAGTCATCCTCCCCACTTGGCCTCCCAAAGTACTGGGGATTACAGGTGCAAGCCACAGCACCCAGCCAACTTTTTTTCTTTATAAAACTATATACTTACAGTTCTCCTCTGGCCTCTAATACTTTTTCATTCCTCCTCTGGTTCCTTTTTGCACCTTCGAGCACTCATTGTTGATGTGTCACTAACCTCTGTTTTTCTTTCTCCAGACTCAAAACCTCAGGAAATATATCTCCTTACACCCTCATCCTAGCTGTCATTCCTTACTGATGATAAGCCACTTGCAAATGGAAGTTTAAACACCACCTAAAACTGAACATATCCAAACCGCTGTCTTCTCTCTAAGCCCTTAACTCCTTAACTTTCTTAACACCATTAGTGCCATGGTTCTCCACTGCATCCTGTTCAAAGTGAAGCAATCTTCAAATCCTTTCTCCTTTACCTCTTCTTCATGCTTTCACTCAGCTATGGGAACCTATCCTCTCAAGTCATGTCCACTCTTCCTTTACAGTCTTTCTCACACATTCTCCTCATCCCTCCTGACTGCCACAGTAATCATGGCTGAGGGCACCTCATGTACAGAACTCTCTTCTCTCCATCCAAGCATCCACATCAAGAATCATCTTTCTTTAATACATCTATCTACTATTCAGAATATACTGGTGGCTCATAATGGCTCCTACTGCCATCTTACTCTCATTTCTGACTATATTTACATCGTTGCCTTTCTCTTCAGTTAATTGATATAGCATCTGACCTTTTTATAATCCAAGTTTTTATGCTATTTTAATCTTACTTGTCTGCAAAATAATACACTTCTCTTGAAAACACTTCTACAGTGAAAACAGCCCAATTCCTTGCCAGCCTCGTACAAAATAATGCTCTTAACCTAATTACTCAAGTGGTACCCCCATAGGGCTTTATGTCTACAGTGCAGCATGTGCATATATTCAAATATCTCTCGACACATCTAAAATTATTTTATAGATTTCAAGCTTTCTGCTTCTGAAACTCTGCTCAAATAAGGGTGTACAATACTCTACAAGTATTTAAAACAATACATAAGTCTGAAATAAAACTTCACATCAAAATATGTTCAATGCATAATGATACTCACCTTTTTGCCTTCCTTTGGTTATTTCTGAGACCATTCTATAACAAAAGAAAATGAGAAATAGTTTCAGATGACTAAATCAATCATCTTCCTTTCTCTTGTTATCTTTCCTCCTGTATTTCCAGATGGCTCCCTGACCAATTTCTTAGTCCATCAATGTCTGTATTCTCATCAAGCCCTGTATAAACACTTAGTATTGTAAGACTTAACTTTTTGCCAATCTAATGAGTTTAAAATAGTATCTAATTGTTTTGATTTACATTTTCCTGATACCTAGTAAAGCAGCTTTTAATATTTGTTGCCCATTTGGGTATCTCTTCTCTGAACTATCTGTTTATATACTTTGTACATTTTTCTACTGAGTTGCTTGCCATTTTCTTATCGATTTTGTAGTTCTTTATAACAGAATACTCTTGTAACATTAATCGTCAAAAGCATAGATTTTGCTCTAAGTTCAACATTGCCTGCTTATGTGCACCAAAAAGTTATCTGTTTTTTGTTTGTTTGTTTGTTTGTTTTTGAGATGGGGTCTCACTATGTTGCCTAGGCTGATCTCGAAGTCCTGGGCTAAAGCGATCCTCCCACCTTGGCCTCCCAAGTGCTGCAGACTATAGGCATGTGCCACTGCACCAGGCTAAAAAATTATCTGATTTCAAGTTTACTTTTAATGTTAAATTTAATTCTAATTTTTTAAAACAGAAATAAACTATATTAGAGAATCTTTAAATATTATCCCATTGGTAGGAGAGAAAAGCAAAATCATAGGAATATATTAAAATATAGGGGTGAGTGAGGAAAGACAGAAGTGACGTGTAGAAGGGTGAGGAATGGAACTTAATTTTAAAAAGAATCAAAAGGCTGCTGAGCCAGGCACGGTGGCTCACGCCTGTAATCCCAGCCTTGGGGAGGCTGAGGCAGGCAGAACACGAGGTCAGGAGCTCGAGACCAGCCTGACCAACATGTTGAAACCCCGTCTCTACAAAAATTAGCCGGGTGTGGTGCATGCGCATGTAATCCCAGCTATTCAGGAGGCTGAGGCAGGAGAATCGCTTGAACTGGAAGGCGGAGGTGGCAATGGGCCAAGATCTCGCCACTGCACTCCAGCCTGGGTGACAGAGGGAGACTCAACCTCAAAAAAAAAAAGGCTGCTGAATATTATCATTTAGTAAGAGTGCATAAGAAAAAATATAAAAATTATGGTGGAATACTGGAAGTTATTTTTAAATGAGGAAACACACAGAAAAATAAGATTAAGTAGGAAGCTTTGAGACTAATATGATACCGTAAACAATGAAGACTTGTTTAAACTGCCACTGTTAGAATTTATCTCTGATGTATCTGCTGAGACGTCATTTTCAGATGATGATTCAGAAGCACTAGAAGAAAAGGGTGTAACTATTAGTTTATTAATTCTGTTTTTATCACTTCTTTCTCTAAATTCTCCTTAAACATAAAAATTTCTCTTTCAGACAGAAATATGAATATGTTAAATATCTCAATTGTTTGTCTACACTTACAGTGAGTTGTTCACTAAAGGGTTGCTTTGGGAGTCACACGTAGCAGCAAAAGAACCAGAGGACATGGAGTCAGGTTTCTGAAAGAAAGAGAGTCCCTTAGTAGGCTTAAATGCAACTAATTATTTCTCTACAGAGGCTCAGTGTCTGTGTACTATCACATTTATTTCAACACATTTACCAAATACACAACCATAAACAATTACAAGATTAATAACTTTTTTTAAGGATGTTTGGTCTGGATTTCATTTTATTTTTTATTTCATTTTTCTGGATCACAGGACAGATAATTTTTTTGTTTCTTTTGAGATAGGATCTGGCTCTGCTGTCCTGGTTGAAGTGCAGTGGCACGATCTTAGCTCACTGCAACCTCCACCTCCCAGGCTCAGGCAATCCTCCCACCTCAGCCTCCCAAGTAGCTAGAACTACAGGTACATGCCACACACGCATCTAATTTTTTTTTTTTTTGTAGAGTCATGGTTTTGCCATGTCGCCCAAGCCAAGCTGGTCTGAAACTCCTGAGCTCAGGAAATCCACCTGCGTTGGCCTCCCACAGTGCTGGGATTACAGGTGTGAGCCACCACACCCAGCCATGGCCCCATGGCACATGGCTCATTGGTGCGACACAGAATGGAGGAATCATTTTGCTAAATCACTGGCTGTCTTGGCATAATGTAACCACAGTCTAACCTGAAGTCAACTTCAGAGGGAATTTTAAAACATAAAAATTTAATCCAAAGGCAATACGTACCACTGAGGTTTCTTCTGATATCTCAAGCAATGCAAGTTTAGCGGCCAATTGTTTTGCTTCCTGTTTAGTAGAACCTGTACCAATACTATATTCTTTCTCTCCAATTTTGCATTTATAATGAAATCTAGGAGAAATCATAGAGCGTACTTATCCAAACATGAAAAATATAGTAAATCCAACTTATGATTTTAAAAAAAAACATTAACAGAGATCTTAAGATAATACCAATTTATTAGATAGATTTATAGTTCATATCTTGCATAATTTAAACCCTCAGTAACCTGTCTGACCAATTTCTCTGAATAACCAGGATCAGTTGACATCTGAGCTTGCGTTTTCCAGGCAATTTCTAATTTTTGGTTGCTTTGCTGAAAGATCTGGCACAAAGGCACTAAGTGGTGATTTTTTTTGTTTTTTAATTCCCCAAAGGTCAAAAGATATGGAGGTAGAAAAGAAAGAGGTCCAGTGAATTTTTTCAGCAGTGCTCAAATGGGAAGGAAAAAGCCAGCAGAGAAAGTGGATTTGACAGGAGAAGCTATGAAGTTACAGCGTAGGGGAAGAGCAAAGCATGGATTCTGCTCTAACTTCAACATTGTCTGCCATCTGCTTATGTGCACAAAAATTTGAGAAAATCCCCACAGTGTAGATTCCCTATACTAAAGTCCACACTCTCCTATTAGATATAAGGACATTTGTGGTTAGGCCAGGATACCTGGACAATTATATAAGAACTATTTTTAAGGGATAAAACAATGGACATGGTAATTTATATCACAGAGTTACTACATATTACTGCAAAATGATTCCAGTATTTGAACTCCTTTTCCTTTGTGTTTCTATTGAAGGCCATTGATAGAAACACATCCAAACAGGGTGAGTCTTCCCTGCTAGACCCTGAATTAAATAGCTGGGTTGAGTGACTGGATCATTTCTATAGCTCCTATTTTTTTCAGACACTGTCCCCCCGCAAATAGATTTCTTCTTTCTTTTAGGTATCTAACGTTAGAGAGCATAATTCAAAGAAATCAAAAAAGTGAGCTACAGAAAATAAAATAGTCTCTTAATTATCAAGATTGACTCAACAGATTCACTTTTGACTATTTCATTCCAATGAATACTATCACATGTTTTTCTTCCTGGTTTTGGCCCAAAAGCCATGACTGTGAATAGCTGAGTCAATTCATAGAACAGTATCCTAAAGTGATGATTTGAACTATTTGCCATGTAGATATTTTTTTTTCTTCTTTCTCATTAACTGGTTGGTGGTAGTTGAAAAACAATCGCCTCATACTCCTTTGATTTCTGCCTTTTTTCAGTTGCAATCCATTCTTTATCCTCATTTCCAAGAACATCTTAGCTCAGTGGTGACGTTCTTAGTAACTTTGAAACTCTAGCTTATCTGTCTCATCAGATCCCTCAAATCCTGGTCTCCTCTCAGTCTACGGCTAAAACTCATTCCTTCTGATACATGGTATTTGTTCATTTAATCAAATTTGAAGGACAAATACCTGAACAAAGAGTTCCCTGATCTGACAAGGGTGAAGAGTCATTCTATACATGTGGCAGAGAGGTTTTCAGACAGTTACCACCATCATGTCCTCAATGACGAAAAGATCTCTGCATGGTTTGAGCAGTGGCACCCTGTACCCTCTTGTTCCACAGACTAAACCATCCAGCTGCACCTCTGAAATAAAGGATTACCCTAATTTGATCAATTACGGTAAGTGAGCTCCATGGCTTCAGCAATTAAGCATTTTAATTACAAATTATAAATCAAATGACTATCAATCATATAAAACCTTCCATATAGAATGTTTAAAAGGACACATATTTCTGGAAAATTAGACATGAAAATAAACCAACTTTATTGCTTAGATACAATGAAACAGAAAGAAAAGCCAAATTATGTCTTACCCTTCTGGCCCATGCACCCCCGATGTACATTGTTTATAATTTACAGTTAGTCTTTTCTTCTGGGCAATTCTATTGACAACACCTATGTAGTTCCCAATGGATAATCCTTCCGAAGAACTGGTTGTTGTCAATGAAAAAGGACTAACTACCTACAAAGAAAAAAAAAAATTCTTGTTTAATTTAAATCACAACAAAGATTTAACCTTTTAAAAATCATTCTTCTAATAAAATTACTAAATGAGCAATGTGAAAGACAGCTTGGATGTTATATATTTTCCTATTATATTACCTTGAGTAAAAGTGTGACTATCTATCTCCCTCTACCCGAAAAAATCTACAAAGATAGATTTTAACAATAGGAAAGAAGTTGCTTTTTCTTGTTTGTCTTTGGAAAGTACTATAACACGTTCTAGCTTGTTATATTCTTTCTAATCTCAAAAAATGAGGCAAGAGATACTGGATCACAACTTAATGAAAAAGATGAATATAATAGTCTGATTTCTACTATTGTTATCTCTACCTTTTTTTCTTAGTCCAACAAAAATCTTGTCCAAAGTTTTGCTATTTTATTTTTTTAATTTTTTTGAGTCAGGGTGTCACCTTGTTACCTAGGCTAGAGTGCAGTGGTGCAACCTCAGCTCACTGCAGCCTTGACCTCCTGGTTTCAAGCGATCTTCCTGTCTCAGTCTCACAAGTACCTGGAACTACAAGTACACACCACCACATCCGGGTACTTTTTTTGTATTTTTTTAGAGACAGGGTTTGGCCATGTTGCCCAGTCTAGTCTCGAACTCCTAAGCTCAAGTTATCTGCCTGCCTCAGACTTCCAAAATGCTAGGATTAGAGGCGTGAGCCACCACACCCGGCTGAGTTTTGCTATTTTATTAATCTTGTCAAAAAACTAGCTTTTGGTTTTATTGATCTTTATTTTTTTTCTTTTTTATTTCTTTTATAGTAATTTCAACCATTGTTATTTTCTTTCTTCTGCTTTTTGGGAGTAAGACATTCTATTTTTTTTCTAACTTTTTGACTCAATTTTCTACCTCATTAATAATTATAATTTGTAATTTTGCTTGATTTTTTTTTTTTTTAAATTTGGTTAGAAGGATATCTTTAAGTAGATTTTTCAAGAAAGAATCTTAAAACCTAAATTTTCCCAAAATTTTTCAAATCTGAGAATAGTTCTCTGTTGTCTAAAATGTAAATGACTTCATGTCTCATTTTATAAGCATTGCTACACTTTCTCCTGGTTTATAATGTTGCTGTGCACAGCATGAAACTTTAAAAATATTTACATTTTACATAGTTTTCTTCTTCTCTCTAGATGCTTATAGAATTCTTTCCTCATCTCTGGAGCGCAGTACTTTCATAAGAATCAATGTTGGGGCCAGGCGCGGTGGCTCATGCCTGTAATCCCAGCACTTTGGGAGGCCGAGGCAGGTGGATCACGAGGTCAGGAGTTCAAGACCAGCGTGGCCAACATAGTGAAACCCTGTCTCTACTAAAAATACCAGAAAATTAGCTGGCCATGGTGGTGGAGGCCTGTAATCTCAGCTACTTAGGAGGCTGAGGCAGAGAATTGCTTGAACACGGGAGGCGGAGGTTGCAGTGAGCAGAGATTGTGCCACTGCACTCCAGCCTGGGCAACAGAGCGAGACTCTGTCTCAAAAATAAAAAATAAAAGAGGAAAAAAGAATCAATGTTGGTCTGGGTGTTTCTAAATTTTCCTGTATCTATTAAGTTGTTTTAATCTGTAGCCAAGTCTTTATTTCATAAACATTTTCTGCTGAAATCTCTTCAGATCATTTTCTTCTGTACTATTTACTCTGTTCTTATTTTCAGGGACACCAGTCACATGTATATTGGTTCTCCATTATCTGCTCTCTGTAAACACTTGGCTCTCCATATCCACGAGTTCCAAATCCCTGGATTCACCAATCACAATCAAAAATATTTGAAAAAAATTGCTGGTTGCATCTGCACTAAACATATTCAGTTTTTTTCCTTGTCATTATTCCCTAAACAATACAGCATAACAACTACTTATAGCTGGCTGTGGTGGCTCACACCTGCAATCCTAGCACTTTGGGAGGCTGAGGTGGGCAGATCGCTTGAGCTCAGGAGTTCAAGACCAGCCTGGACAACATAGTGAGACTCCATCTCTACAAAAAATACAAAAATTGGCCAGGTGTGGTGGCTCGTGCCTGTAGTCCGAGTCAGTTGGGATGCTGAGGTGGGAGGATCACCTGAGCCTGGGGAGACTGAGGCTGCAGTGAGCCTTGATCATGCCACTGCACTCCAGCCTGGGTGATAGTAAGACCCTGTCTCAAAAAACAACAACAACAAAAAACTATTTACATAGCATTTACATTGTATTAGAGATATTATAAGTAATCTAGAGATGATCTAAAGGATAATCATGTACTGCATAATGACATTTTGGTCAACAATGGACTGCATATATGACGGTGGTCCCGTAAGATTATAATGGAGCTAAAAAATTACTGTCATCTAGTGAGGTCATAGCCACTATAATGGCTAATTTTTTGTATTTTTAGTACAGACAGGGTTTCGCCATATTGCCCAGGCCAATCTCAAACTCCTGGGTTACAGTACCATGCATTACTCACATGTTTGCAGTGACACTGCTCTAAACAAATCTACTGTGCTACAGTCTTGTAAAAAAGTCTGGCACATACAATTATGTACAGTACATAATACTGGATAATAATAAGTAACTGTTACTGGTTTATATCTTTATTATTTTTTAATCATTATTTTAGAAGGCACTCTTTCTACTTAAAAAAAAAAAAAAAAAGTAAACTGTAAAACAGTCTCAGGCAGGTCCTTCGGTAGGTAATCCAAAAGAAGGAATTGCTACAATAGGAGAGAATAGCTCCATGTATGTTATTGCTCCTGAACACTTTCCAGAGGGACAAAATGTGGAGGTGGAAGACAGTGATGCTGATGATCCTGACGCTGTGTAGGCAGGCTGGTGTGTGTGTGTGTGTTGTAATTTTTTTCTTTCTTTTTTTTTGAGAGAGGGTCTTGCTCTGTTGCCCAGGCTGGAGTGTAGTCACAAGATCACAGCTCACTGCAGCCATGACATGTCAGGCACATGATCCTCCTGCCTCGGCTTCCTGAGTAGCTGGAACTACAGGCACGTGCCACCAAGCCCGGCTAGTGTTTTGTATTTTTAGTACAGACAGGGTTTCACCATGTTGCCTAGGCTAATCCCAAACTCCCAAATTCAAGTGATCCACCTACCTTGACTACCAAAGTGCTGGGATTACAGGCATGAACCACCATGCCCAGCATTTTTTTTTTTTTTTTTTTGAGACAGGGTCTCATTCTGTCACCCAGGCTGGAGTACAGTGGCATAATCATGGCTCCTCGACATCCCAGGCATGAAACACTGTGCCCAATCATGTTTTAATTTTTTAACAACAAAGTTTAAAAGTTAAAAAATAAAAGAAGTTTAAAATTCTAAAAATAGAAAAAAGCTTATAGAATAAAGATGTAACGAAACAAAATATTTTTGTACAGCCATACTATGTGTTTTTGTTTTCGTTTTTGTTTTGTTTTGTTTTTTTGAGATGGAGTCTCGCCCTGTTGCCCAGGCTGGAATGTAGTGGCATGATCTCGGCTCACTGCAACCTGCACCTCCCGAGTTCAAGCAATTCTCCTGCTTCAGCCTCCCAAGTAGATGGGATTACAGGCGACCCCCACCACACCCAGCTAATTTTTGTATTTTCAGTAGAGACGGGGTTTCACTGTGTTGGCCAGGCTGGTCTCAAACTCCCGACCTCAGGTGATCCACCCGCCTCGGCCTCCCGAAGTGCTGCGATTACAGGCATAAGCCACTGCGCCTGGCTGTGTTTGTGTTTTAAGCTAAGTGTTATTAGGAAAGAGTCAAAATGTTAAAAATAAGAAGTTTATAAAGTAAAAGAGTTACCGTAAGCTAAGGTTAATTTATTATTGAAGAAAAAAATTTTTAATAAAATGAATGTAGCTTATGTATACAGTGTTTATAAAGTCTACAGTGGTATACAATAATGCCCTAGGCCTTCACGTTCACTCACCACCCACTCACTGACTCACTCAGAGCAACTTCCAGGCCTGCAAGCTCTATTTATGCATGGTATGTGCCCTATATGGGTGTACTTTTGCTTGTCTTTTTTTTTTTTTTTTTTTTTTTTTGAGACAGGGTCCCCAGGCTGGAGTGCAATGGCACGATCTCAGGCTCGCTGCAACCTCTGTTTCCCGGGTTCAAGCCATTCTCCTGCCTCAGCCTCCCAAGTAGCTGGGATTACAGGTGCCTGCCACCACGTCCAGCTAATTTTTTGTATTTTTAGTAGAGATAGGATTTCACCATGTTGGTCAGGCTGGTTTTCAACTCCTGACCTCAGGTGATCCACCCGCCTCAGCCTCCCAAAGTGCTAGGATAACAGGTGTGAGCCACCGCGCCCGGCCTTTTGTCTTTTATACTGTATTTTTACTGTACTTTTTCTATATTTAGATATGTTTAGATACATGAATACTAAATTGTGTTACGATTGGCTACAGTTTTCAGTACAATAACATGCTGTACAGGTTTGTAGTCTAGGAGCAATAGGCTATACTACATAGCCTAGGTGTGTAGTGGTTACTCCATTTAGGATTGTATAAGTACTTCTGTGATGTTTGCCCAATGAGAAAATTGCCTAAGGATGCATTTCTTACAATGTATTCTCCTTGTTAAGCAATGCATAACTGTATATGGGAAGATGCAAATAGGTTATATGCAAATACTATGCCATTTTATATAAAAGACTTGAGCATCAGTGGATTTTGGCATCCACAGGGAGTCCTGGTACCAATTCCCCACAGAGAGTGAGTGACCGCTGTACATCATTCTCCCTATAATCACTTTCATCTCTTTTTCCTCTTTTACTGCACTTCCTCAATTAGATGGAGGGGACTCATCCCAGAACCTGTCAGCTCATTTCCCACTGAACACTTCTCACCTTTCCATATTTGTTCAATTTTAGAGTATTTAACTGCTGCTGACACTCTGAATAACTATTCTCCAGCTTTGCCCACGGTGTCCTGGGTGTGCGGCTCTCACTCAGGGTTTCATAGAAATGAAGATGGGGGGGCCGGGCGCAGTGGCTCAAGCCTGTAATCCCAGCACTTTGGGAGGCCGAGACAGGCGGATCACGAGGTCAGGAGATCGAGACCATCCTGGCTAACACGGTGAAACCCCATCTCTACTAAAAAAATACAAAAAACTAGCCGGGCGAGGTGGCGGGCGCCTGTAGTCCCAGCTACTCGGGAGGCTGAGACAGGAGAATGGCGTGAACCCGGGAGGCGGAGCTTGCAGTGAGTTGAGATCCGGCCACCGCACTCCAGCCTGGGCGACAGAGCGAGACTCCGTCTCAAAAAAAAAAAAAAAGGAATGAAGATGGGGGGAATGACTGAACCAAACTCTTGAATGTAAGGTAACGTGTGAATGGCTTTACTCTGTATGGAAGTATTTTCTCACAGAGAGAAATAGAAAATGTATTTGCAAGTTCCCATTTACTAGGAAAAAAAGGGCAATCACTCACCTTGCTTTCCTTATTAAGTATATCAACAGCTAATTTGGCTGCAGCATTTTTTGCTTCCTTCTTTGATCTACCTTCAGCTTCTGGAAATTCTCTTCTATCTGTTACAACTCGAAATGTAAACCTGATTACAAAAAGAATATTCATAAGATATTATACAACTCATGCACTATCTAAAAACAAGTGCTCTAGTTACCACTACCTCCTATGACCACCTTTGAGGGTTTGAACGTACATTCAATATAGAATGTAAGCAGTCACCCCAAACGGTAAAACAGCATGTGTTGTTGAAGCATGGAAAGGTTTCTACCCGCTCTTCTCTCTGGAGTCATCTGTGGCTCCAAAGTGGTTACTGATTTACGCCAAGCGGACTCTCACAAAACAAAAGTGTCGACCTCAAAGTGGTGCCAGAGTTGCCATTCCCCCAAGTTTACATTTATAAGATCATATCATTGTTTATAGCAACTTACCTCCTATCATGTGGAGGTCCTGTATTAGGCAGTTCTTGATAGCTAAATGTTACTCCCTGCTTCTGACGGTATTTATTAAGTTCCTCCATGTAGAAACCTGGTGCAAGATCACCAGCCATTTCTTCCAGTATCCTACAATGGAAGAGACATTTGAATGAGTGATGCTCACAGAACATATTTAACCTGACTTTCCCAATGCAGTTTAGGAGACAGAGGGGTTGGGGAGACTCTCCTTTAGAGGACTCATCTCAGTCCCACATAAATGCAGAGACTTTCTTTCAAAACTGTTCTTTCTTTCTCACTCACTGCACAATAAAGTTAATTTCTCCAAATTTTCTACTTTGAAAACTCAACTTGGCCAGGGGTGGTGGCTCACACCTATAAAATCCCAGCATTTTGGGAGGCCAAGGTGGGCGGATCACCTGAGCTCAGGAGTTCAACACCAGCCTGGGCAACATGGCAAAACCCCGTGTCAATTTCAGAATTGTTTTAAAAAATAAAGGAAAGAAAAAAAAAACTCAGCTGGTCAGTGAAAGGGGGTCCTTCTCTTTAACTCTGCCCTGTGCTTCCACTTAGTATCAACTACATGTTTGTCTACCTGCTTAAAAAAGTAAAAAGGCTGCAGGAGTGTAGAATGTTTTATGTTTAGAAGAAAAAAGTTTAGAGTATATGTAATAAGTAAAGTGGAGTGGTAGCATGGGGACAGGCTGGGAAACGGGTGGGCGAGTGTAGCCTGTGTGGACGCGGATCCTGCCCGAAGCCGGGTGGAGGAGAGCTCAAACTAAGGGTGATCAGCCCGTGACCTAGATCTCTGGACAAAATAAAACGAAGAAAATATGTCAGAATCAAGAATGATGGATCGATGTTCAGTTGGAGTCCAGCTTCGTACTACAAATGAGTGCCATAAAACCTACTATACTCGTCACACAGGTTTTAAGATTTTGCAAGAACTGTCATCAAATAATACGCTTTTACTTCAACTTAGAACTGGAATGACACTTTCTAGGAACCATACAATTTGCTTTAATCACATAAAAATTTATATTGACAGAGTTGAGGATTTACAGAAGTCGTGTTGTGACCCATTACCATACACAAAAAACTAGCCCCCCAAAATTTGCATGTAATTGCCTTAGATGATGCCACTTTTCTGAGTGCAAAATTCAAAAGACAGCTTGTACCTGGTTAGAAGCTGTGTCCAAAATGCAAGCAGATAATCACAGAAGTGTGGATGTCAATTCTGAAGACCGCCAGAGAAGGAAATCTGAGTCAGATGGAAGAACTGTTAAAGCTTTGAGGTCATTACAATTTATAAATCCGGAAGGCAAACTGAATTTGCTCCAGAAACTGGTAAAAGAGAAAAAAGAAGGCTTACAAAAAATGCAACTGCTGGTTCAGACAGACAAGTGATACCAGTGAGGACTAAGGTCTATGAGAGCCAGGGTCTCCTGATTTTTAGTGGGATGGAACCCTGTGACTGCCTCGATGAAGATTGCTTAGGATGTTTCTATGCTTGTCCTGCCTGCGCTGTCCTGTCTCCAAGTGTGGAGCTGAATGCCGCTGTGATCGCAAGTGGCTGTATGAGCAAACTGAAATTGAAGGAGGAGAAATAATTCGTAATAAACATGCTGGATAATCTGTGGTATCAAACTAGGCGGCCTTTAAAGGTCTTTAATTCTAAAATTCTGTTACTCTAAGATAGATTTTAAGCTTGATTGTCAAACGACAAAGATTTTAAAACCACCTCAATGTGCACTAATTTTTCATCTTGGGCGCTTTAAGATTCACTATTTCATATAAATTCAGATAGGCTATTTCTCAGTAGTCAGCGTTAAGCCTGTCTGGACCAGTATAAACAAGTAGGGTATAGGCAGTCCTTGATTTGCACGGTTCCCATGTGCACAAATTTCAGTGACCTAAGTTTAGTTTAAATACCAGTTTCCTTACCATGAAGGAAAGGAAACTGGTGTTGTTTAATCCTAGGTTAAAATTTTAGTTAGCACAGTATAATTACACAGTATAATCTGAGTAATTACATGAAGTACAAACTTCTCTGCTAGTTCTTCAGTCTACAAATCACGATGTAAATAACAGATATGCTTCATGATCAGTGACCGGTTGTATTACTTCTTTCAAATTCTTCCAGTGGTTGGTCCCTGTGCATCTGTTATTCAGTTCACTCACAGCAGAGCACGTTGTTACGCTGTCTCTTTGTCCTCCACTTGACATTTTATAGAAGTGAACTATCGAAAGAACTGGCCAACAAAGATGAAAGTCCAGCAAAGCAATGAAAAATGATAACACTGGAAGTGAAATTTGAATCAAACATAAATGGATTTGTAGAAGAAGCCACTGATTACAGGAATGTTGTTCTTGCTGCTGTGCATTCGTAGGAGCTTAGCGAAGGCAAACTTATCAACACAAATAAGAAAAGTGATTGCAATAAAGATAAATATGTCCCAGAGGAAGTGATGGTAAAAAAACAAAAAAACAAAAAAACACTTCACACTAAAGAATATTTAATGTGAATACAGAAATACTTCACAAAATTGAAACACAAGCAATAAAAGGGTGGAAGCTGACCCAAACTTAAAAGGAGTATGACAGTTTACCATGAATAGAAAAGATGCTTACTCAGTATCATAAGTTACTTGGCAGGAAAAAAGGCAATCTCTATTCAAACTACTTTTCACAGAGAACTAAACATTTTTAAACTTTTTTGCATTTTTTTCTACATTTACAACTGATCTTAAGAGTTTTAAATATTTTAGCAGAATTTTAAAGGTCATGGAACAATCATCATTTTCCCCATTGATTATTAAGGTTGCTTTGCATGGCCATTTTTCTGGTCCCACAGTACCATGCAATATGAGGACCGCTTGTAGCTGGGAGCAATGCGTGCTTCAGGGAAAACTGATTTTCATAGAACTGACTAGTTGAGTGCTAAACTATTTTGGAAACGCTCTACATATCTAAGTGCTAAAATATATTTCTCTTCTCCCCAATGATTCTTCAAATAAAAAAGTTTTATACTAAAAAAAATTAAGTGTATGAAATCATGAAGGATTTAACTGTATGGACATAGATTTCCCTATGACATCTCAAAAATCTCCCCTCTGAATTTTGCAGAAATCAATTTTAGGACAATTTAACCACTATGTAAATTAAGACCTCTGTTGATAGGTCTCACTGGACCAAGTCTATAGCAATGATTTAAATTATCAACAAAATTTAGAGGATATAAAATATACATGTACAAGCCAAAACTATAAAACTCTTCGAAGAAAATACGGGGTAGATCTTCATGACTTTGGATTTGGTGATAAAATCTTAGATATGACAGCAAGAGCACAAGCAACAAAAGAAAACAGAGATAAATTGGGCTTCATCAAAATTAAAAACTTTTGTGTATCAAAGGACACTATGAAGAAAATAAAATGACAATCTACAGAATAGAATATTTGCAAATCATATATCTGATGAGGGTCTAGTAACCAGATAGATAAAGAATTCTTGCAGCTCAACACAAAAAGACAAACCACCCGATTAAAAAATAGGCAAAGGGACTTGAACAGACATCTCTCCAAAGAAAATATGTAAATGGCCAATAAGCACATGAAAAGATACTCAACATCATGAGTCATTAAAGAAATGGAATTCAAAACCACAACTAAATACCGTTTCGCACCCATAAGTATGGCAATAATAATAATAATCAGGAAATAATAATAAAAAACTCAGTGTTGGTGAGGACATGGAGAAACTGGACCCCTCAAACATTGCTGATAGGAATGTAAAACAATACAGTTGCTGGGGTTCCTCTAGAAGGTAAACTTTGAATTATCATAAAACCTAACAATTCTATTCCTAGGTATTTCAAAGAATTGGAAAACAGATTTTCAAACAAATACTTAGACAGGAATGTACATAGCAGCACTGTTAACAATAGCCAAAAGGTAGAAACAAACCAAGTGTCCATCAATGGATAAATGGCGAACAAAATGTGAAATATATCTACACAGTGGAATATTATTCAGTCACAAAAGAAATGAAGTACTGATACATGCTACAACATGGATAAATCTCAAAAACATTATGCAAAATGAAAAATCCAGACATAAAAGTTCACATATATTGTATGATTCCCATTTATATGAAACTTCCAGAATAGGTAAATCCATAAAGACAGAAATCAGATCCTGTAAAACTGTTAATTCTTCTTGGAAAGCTCTTTTGATCTTCTTTCTTCCAGAGCCACTCTTTCTGTTTTTTGTTTTTGAGACAGGGCCTCACTCTGTTGCCCAGGCTGGAGTGCAGTGGCGTGATCTCAGTTCACTGCATCATCTGCCTCCCAGGTTCAAGCAATCTTCCTGCTGCAGCCTCTCAAGTAGCTGGGACTATGGGACTACAGGTGCCCATCACCATGCTAAATTTTGTATTTTTGAGGTTTCCCTGTGTTGGCCAGGCCAGTCTCCAACTCCTGAGCTCCAGTATCCACCAGCCTCAGCCTCCCAAAGTGCTGGGATTACAGGTGTGGGCCACCACACCTGGCTGGGCCACTCTTTTTAACACACCTTAATCTTTGCAGGCTCTAAATGCTGTCATGGTCCAACAATCCTCTTCTCTTCACTCTATACTTTCTCCTTAAGGTGATTTCTTTCATGTCCATGATTTCAATGATCATCTATATGCCATTACCTCTAAAATTTACATATTCCTTATGAACTGCTTTGAGTTCCAGATCTCTCTATCCAAATTCTCCACTTGAACATCTTGAACGAACTTTAAACTCAAAATATCCTGTACTGTATTTATGATCTTCTCCCAAGCTGGTTTGAAGTTTCCTTTCACAGGAAATGACTCCACCATCTATCCAAGTCTGAAAGCCATGAATCTGGGAGGCATCCTTGACATTTCCTCTCCCTGCCTTCTAATCCATAACTAAGTCCTATCATCAAAATCTTTCTACTTCCCAAAGATGTCTACACTTGCCATCCTAGTTCAAGTCACCACCACCTCATTCCTGGATTGCTGTGAGAATCTCAGAACCAGTTCCAACAGCTACTTCAATTCCTTCTCTACCTTGCAACCAATGTGATTTTTTTTTAATGTTTTTTAATGTTTTAAAATTGTGATAAAATATATATAACATGAAATGTATTCTTTTTCAATGTATTAATTCCCTGCCTTTAAGTACATTCACAATGTTGTGTAGCTGCCACCACATCCACATCTAGAACTCTTAATCTTTCCAAATAGAAAGTCTGTACCCATTAAACAGCAACTCCCCATTTCCCAGTCCTTTCAGTCTCTGCTAACCTCTTTTTTTTGTTTTTTGGCTTTTTTTTTTGAGACAGGGTCTCACTCTGTTGCCCAGGCTGGAGTGCAGTGGTGTGATCACAGCTTACTGCAGCCTTAAACTCCTGGGCTCAAGTGATCCTCCCACCTCAGCCTCCCAAGTAGCTGGGACCATAGGCGTGGGAACCATGCCTGGTTAATTTTTTATATTTTCTAATCTCTTTTCTGTCTCTGTAAATTTGCCTGTTCTAGGTACCTCAGATAAGTGGACTCAAACAGTATTCGTCCTTTTGTGTCTGGTTATTTCACTTAGCATAATGTCTTCAAGGTTCATCTATGTTGTAGTATATGTCAGAATTTCTTTCCTTTTCAAGACTGAATAATATTCCGTTGTGTGTCTATGCCACAGTTTGTTTATCCATTCATTTATGAATGGACACTGGTTATTTCAACCTTTTGGCCATCATGAATCATGCTGCTGTGAACATTGATATAAATCTATCTGTTTAAGTCCCTACTTCTGAATATTAGTGGTATATACATATAAGTGGAATTGAATCACATGGTAATTCTGTTTAACTTTGTGATGAACCATCAAATTGTTTTCCACAGTGGCTACACCCATGTTGCATTTCTACCAGCAATACACGAGGGTTCTAATTTCTCCACATCCTCACCATCACTTGTTATTATCTGTTTTCTTTTTTAATACAGACACATCATGATCTTTTTAAAACATCAATTCAGTGGCCAGGCGCGGTGGCTCACGCCTGCAATCCCAGCACTTTGGGAGGCCAAGGCGGGTGGATCACCTGAGGTCGGGAGTTCAAGACGAGCCTGACCAACATGGAGAAATCCCGTTTCTACTAAAAAATACAAAATTAGCTGGGGTGGTGGCACATGCCTGTAATCCCAGCTACTTGGGAGGCTGAGGCAGGAGAATCGCTTGAACCCAGGAAGGCGGAGGTTGCGTTAAGCCGAGATCGCACCATTACACTCCAGCCTGTGCAACAAGAGCAAAACTCCATTTCAAAAAAAAAAACAAAACACACACACTCACATCAATTCAATCATGCAGTCTCCACAAGCCACTGAGATTGTTTTTGTCGAGGTTACCAATGGCTTCCCCATCACTAAATCCAGTAGTCAGTTCTCAGTCCTTCTCTACTCGACCTACAACCAGCATTTGATGTGTTGATGTGGTTGCACATCCTCTTCTCTCTCCTCTCTCTGTCTTAGCTTGGACTTTTAAGACACCCGCTCTCCTGGTTTTCTTCTTTTGAGAAAGAGTTTTGCTCTTGTTGCCCAGGCTAGAGTGTGATGGTGGCATCTTGGCTCACTGCAACCTCTGCCTCCCAGGTCCAAGCAATTCTCCTGCCTCAGCATTCCGAGTAGCTAGGATTACAGGCACCCACCACCACACCTGGCTAATTTTTTTGTATTTTTAGTAGAGATAGGGTTTCCCCATTGTTGGCCAGGCTGGTCTCGAACTTCTAATCTCAGATGATCCACCCGCCTTGGCCTCCCAAAATGCTGCGATTACAGGCATGAGCCACGGCGCCTGGCCCTGGTTTTCTTCTGTTCTCACAAGCTACTCCTTTTCTGTCTCCTTTTCTGGTTCCTCTTCAACTTCTTTTCTTCCATTTATTTTTTTTTTTTTAACCCTTCCTATGGTGCTAACTTCCCCTTTTCTAGATATTCCAGCATCACTGGGCCTGGTCCTTAGACTTGTTCTTTTCTACTTAGACTCACTCCCCTGGTGATCACCTTCGGGTCTGTGGTTTTAAATTCTACAGAAACCATGATGGTTCTCAAAAGCATGCCTCCACCATGGACTCTCTCCTGAACTCCTAACTGCCTCTGTCCAACCTGCTCCCTGCTAAAATGCCCTTGACTCTACTCCTTCCGCTCTCTTGGCCTGGTCAATTTCTACTTCCTACAGATTTCAGCTCAAAATCCCAGACACTCCTTCATAGGCTCTTCCACAGTGCTCATCCCCTTTATTAAAATCACCTATTTAATAAGCTCTATTTTTCTAAAATAGAGCCTGAATTACTAGAGGTAAGGGACCAGGCTCAATAATGAATGAATGAGTACCAAAATATCTCCAGATACCCCATCTAGGGCTTGTCACCTGCTTTCCTCTACATGCATAGTGCAATATCTGCATTCTCTCTGTACCCACCAATCTCCCAATCTCCACTCATCAATCAGGATCAACACAGCCTTCTTTGATGCTGGAGGGTCAGCTAGTATGGGCTTGCCACTCCACCTTGCCCAACCTTCATCACAGCCCTGACTGCTTTTTAAACTAATTAGTGAGTTATTTGGGGAGCAGATTCTACATCTTATTCACTCATCTGGAAGAAACCTCCATCATAATCACTAAAAAATTGTATTTGTCCATCTTGCTAATTATATTTGTAATGACATTACTTCAGCTATGCCTCCACTCCCTTCCAGCAGACTATAGTCGCCCTGCAGGCTTAGTCCCCTCCAGGGCCAGGACATTGTTTCACATAGATCATTCCTTCAACCAGCATCTGATTAATAAATGAATAAACGGCGGGGGGCGGTGGCTCACATCTGTAATCCCAGCACTTTGGGAGGCCGAGGTGGGTGGATCACCTGGCCAACATGGGGAAACCCCGTCTCTACTAAAAATACAAAAATTAGCTGGGCATGGTGGTGCATGCCTGTAATCCCAGCTACTCAGGTGGCTGAGGTAGGAGAATCACTTGAACCCTGGAGGCAGAGTTGCAGTGAGCTGAGACTGCACCACTGCACTCCAGCCTGGGCAACAGAGCAAGACTCCATCTAAAATAAATAAATAAACAAACAAACTATAGGTCAAGTATTCGGGATCTCCAGGTTCAAATAAGCAAACTGAAAAACAATAGCATAATCTGCCCAAGATTCTAAATTTCTAAGTGACACCAGAGAGCCTGTCTTTTACGTTCCATCTGGCATGGCATTTTTAGTACTAAAGAAAACATGGGGCCATGTAATCCTCATGCCTGTAATCCCAGCACTTTGGGAGGCTGAGGCAGGTGGATCACCTGACATCAGGAGTTCGAGACCAGCCTGGCCAACATGATGAAATATACTAAAAATATAAAAATTAGCTTGGTGTGGTAGTGTGTGCCTGTAATCCCAGCTACTCAGGAGGCTGAGGCAGGAGAATCACTTGGACCCTGGAGGCAGAAGTTGCAGTGAGCCGAGATCGAGCTACTATACTCCAGCCTGGGCAACAGAGTGAGACTCCATCTTGAAAGGAGAAAGAAAAGAACAAAGAAGGAAGAGAGAGAGAGGGAAACAAGGAAACAAGGAAGGAAGAGAAGAGGAAAAAGAAAAGAAAGGAGGGAGGGAGGGAAGGGAGGAAGGAAAGAAGGAAACATGGGCAACAGGACGCCTCATTATTTTGGAATTCAAAAGGGAGTTTCTGAATTACCATTCATTTAGCAAACATTTAATCAGCACCTATTACGTACTAGGTGCTGGGACTATACTAGTGAACCCTGCTATAGGTAATTGTGAAATTACCAGTGGAGGAACAACCCATAAGAAAATGTCACCGGGTGGCCGGGCGCAGTGGCTCATGCCTGTAATCCCATCATTTTGGGAGGCTGAGGTGGGGGATCACAAGGTCAGGAGTTCGAGACCAGCCTGGCCAATATGGTGAAACCCCGTTTCTACTAAAAATTAAAAAATTAGCTGGCTGTAGTGGCGGGCACCTGTAGTCCCTAGCTACTCGGGAGGCTGAGGCAAGAGAATCGCTTGAACCCGGGAGGCGGAGGTTGCAGTGAGCCAAGATCGCGCCACTGCACTCCAGCCTGGCAACAGAGTGAGAATCTGTCTCAAAAAAAAGAAAAGAAAAGAAAGAAAGAAAGAAAAGAAAAGAAAATGTCACCAGGTGATAACTACTATGTTGAAAATTGAGGTAGTGGAAGGGGGTACAGCAAGGGCAGAGGGGGGTTTCTTGCATATGCAGGTTGTTTGAGGAAGGCTGCTCTGATAAGCAGGCATGGGAAGCAGTGCGGGATAAGGGAGGGGTTTCCCCATGCAAGTATCTGGGGGAGAAGCTTTCCGGGAAGAAGAAACAGACCAGTGCAAAGGCCTAGAGGCTGGAGGATGCTTGGCTGTGCACCAGGAACAGCAAGGAAGCTAGCATGGCCGGAGTAGGGGGTGCAAGGTACCTTGCCGGTGAGCCTTAATAAATGTTTATAGGATTCTGACGAGACAGGAAAGCTATGGGGAAGGTCTGAGCAGGGCAGAGTCTGGATCTTACTTAAAGGAACATTCCAGTTGCTGAGGTGTGTAGAAGAGGTAGGGGGTGGAGGTTCGGGGGTGAGGAGACGGAGTGGGAACAGGAACTGAGGCCAGGCAATTGGGAAACTACTGCAACTCTCCATGCAAGAGATTTTTAGCCAGAGATTGTTCAGCCAGTCTATGAGTATTTCAGGCCTCCGTATTTTCCATATGACAAGCCACTAGGCCTATTCATCTTCCACTAGACCCAGCCCCACAACCGCTGCCTAGGAAATATTTGTTACTTGCACTGATAAAAATTCTTCGCGGGAAGGAAATGGCTTTCAGTCCCCATCCCGCTCCACGATCCTTTCCCTGGATTCAGGGAGGGCCCCACAGCCGGGCTGTGGGCCTCGGACTGCTCTCCTATTGCTGACCCAGCTGGGGCCAGGGGCTTCGGATCAGCTTCCGCGTCCTGAGCTGGGGACGCAGGATCGGCGGGTCCCGCCCCGCCTGGGCCCGCAGCCCCTATCCCGTGGCCCCCCGGCCCCCGCTCCCTGCGCTCCCTCGGCTGCCCCCGGCCCCGCTCACCTGCGCCGCCGCCGCCGCCGGCCGGAGACCCGCGACTTCGGGAGAGCTGGCTCTCAGTTTCGTTTTCCCCTCGGACTCCGCCTTCCCTGCAGCTGCCCGGCCCCCTCTCGCACAAGTCCTCGTCTGCTACGGGATTGGGGTAAATTGGCGCTGGATCCAGAGTGCGCGCGAGAGGCGCCGGCGGGCGGCACTGGCGGGCGGGCTTGTCACCCATGTGCAGCCCCTGCGCGGCCAGGACCCCGCACCCCCAACCGCCTCCCCCTCCCCGCCCCGAGGCTCCTGGAGCAGGTGGCTTTGGCTGCATTAGGTTCTGGAATCAAGGGTTCCACTTACTCTCAACACAAATATTTGGAGAGGGGTTGGGAAGATGGGTCTTAGCAGCTCCATTTTACAATAGAGGAAATTGAGTAAATGAACTTACCTAGGGGTCCAGCGGCTCGTAAGTGGGAAAGCCAGGATTCAGTTAAAGTCCAGGCCTGTAAACACCAAAGCGCTCCTCCCCACTTGCCAAACCGCTGCCCCCTCACTTTTACAAGGCTGGGGATGCGAGGCCTGGGGGCGTAATCTCCTTCACTCTGCTCCCACCCATCCATTCATTCCTGAGCAGACACTTGTCAGCCGCTATAAAAGCACCTGCGGGCCAGTCCTGCTGTTAAAGAGAGCCACCTGCTCCCTACAGTACCCCAGGGAGTTTCCTATATAGTCCAACACCAGTAGTCCTCGATTTATAGAAATTCTACTCACCTGATGGACTGTGACACGCTCCCAGAGTCACACAGAGTTCCACAGTCATTGGCACAGTGACTAATGAGTATTGAGGCACAGAGGAGTTAGATTAATACAACTAGTAAGCAGCGGAGTTAGAATTCTAACCAGGAGTCTGTACTCTCAATATCTTAGCTGGGATAAGAGAGGGAGGTGGTCCCAAGACAGACCTCAAATATACATTAAATATTATGCCTAGGCCGGTGCGGTGGCTTATGCCTGTAATCCCAGAAATTTGGGAGGCCGAGGGGGGCAGATCACCTAAGGTCAGGAGTTCAAGACCAGCCTGGCCAACATGGCAAAACCCCATCTCTACTAAAATACACAAAAAATAGCCGGGCGTGGTGGCGGGCCCCCGTAATCCCAGCTACTCTGGAGGCTGAGGCAGGGAGAATTGCTTGAACCTGGGAGGCAGAGGTTGCAGTGAGCTGAGATCATGCCACTGCACTCCAGCCTAGGCTACAGAGTGAGACTCCATCTCAAAAAAAAAAGAACATTATACCTAGGCAGGCATCTATTCCAGCCTCCCTTCTCCATCCCCCTACAACCCCGCATTGCAGGGTATCAACAACTAAAATCTACACTGTAGCTCAGGTCCTGGGCATAGCTTAAGTCCCTCAAATGTGAAGCACTGGCGGGAGGTTTAGAAGGTGGACATGAGGTAGAACCATTTTTTGTGGCATTTCCAGGTGACAAGAAAACTCTGACAGTGCTGGGTGTCCATTTATCAGCTTTGTGGGTGTTGGGATGGCTGTGGCAGCAGCAATGGCAGTAGCAAGGACAAGGTTTTCTGACTTTTTGAGCCCCTGAACTGCGCAAGAGAGCTTAAAGAATGAAAAATGACAAGCTCAAGCATGATCAGAGGACACAAGCTTTTATGACTGCACCAGAAAACCCTCCTAGCCTCAGGGGTGATGTAAAATCTGTCTTCTCTACTGGGGAAAGATTTGGAAGGAATGATATCAGAGGGTTGGTGATGAGGTCTAGGGGAATGATATGATATGGGTGAACCTCTTGGAATGGGCAGAGTGTGAGGAGGAGCCTGTCCCTGAGGAGCCCAATTCCCTACCGTCTGGGCTCCCCAGGTGCAAAGCTTGGTGCTGCAGGCACCAGAATTACAATATAATTGTTTTGAGGTGGAGTCTCGCTGTGTCACCCAGGCTGGAGTGCAGTGGCACAATCTTGACTCACTTCGACCTCTGCCTCCCGGGCTCAAGCAATTTCTCTGCCTCAGCCTCCTAAGTAGCTGGATTACAGTCGTGCGCCACCACACCCAGCTAATTTTTGTATTTTTAGTAGGGAAGGGGTTTCACCATATTGGCCAGCCTGGTCTGGAACTCCTCACCTCAAGTGACTTCCCCTCCTCGGCCTTCCAAAGTGCCAGGATTACAGGCGTGATCCACCGTGCCTGGCCTAGAATTACAATATAAATTTAATTTGCAGCCTCATCAGGTCTCTTCTATGAACATTGAGGGCATTGACTGTGAAAGGATGAAGCCCTGGGAATTTGGGTGGATTTGAATGAATTCAAGTGCCACTGCCCTCCTAAATTCTGCTGTGTCTCCACAGGCTTCCCACCATTGTCTGATAAGGCTGGTCCAGCCTACATTGAAGAGCATGAAACAGTCACCCTGCAAGGAGGTGCTGATTCTCCAAATACCCTATCTCTACCTGTGCCTTCACTCCTAGAACTAGAATCAGATGCTAATGCACTCCAAGAGGATATGGACAAGATCTGATTGAGGGGAGATGCTTTACACAACAAAAGAGCAACAGAAAGCAAGAAATAGGCATGGCAATGAGTCTAAAGATGACACGAAGAAAGTTGAAAGTTGAGGCTGAGCAGGGTGGCTCACGCTTGTAATCGCAGCACTTTGGGAGGCCCAGGCGGGCGGATCATGAGGTCAGGAGATCAAGACCATCCTGGCCAACATGGTGAAACCCTGTCTCTACTAAAAATACAAAAATTAGCTGTGCGTGGTAGCATGTGCCTGTAATCCCAGCCACTTGGGAGGCTGAGGCAGGAGAATTGCTTGAACCAGGGAGTCGAAGGTTGCAGTGAGCCAAGATCGTGCCACTGCACTCCAGCCTGGCAACAGAACGAGAAAAAAGGAAAAAAAAAGAAAAGAAAGTTGATGTACTGTCTCTAGCAGTGGGAGCGCTTAGCCAGTTTGCCCAGTTGGTTTACTATAATCTGAGCTCAGTGGCAGCTCACACTAAATGAACATGTAATGCCAAGTAATGCAGATAAAGAAATCAAAAATACTTAGGGAGTCAGGAATATTGGAGTCGATTCATCTTATGCAACCTAGTCACTTACTCCATAACCATGGCCCCCAAGAAGATCCAAAGGCCCCTCCTTCAGTGGCTTGTATGGAGCCAGTGGCTGTTGCATATCGGGCTTCCTTGTGAATGTTCACCAAAGGCACCCACTTCTAAAGAGGCTTTTGAGAAGCAGTTGAGCAAGAAGACTTCTGTTAGCCTTTTCCCTAGCTCTACCAGTGCTAGTTCTAACAAATAAAGAGGCTGTGACCGCAGGAATGGAGGATATGTGTGAGTTTATCCACATGGGCTTCTCAGCAAGGCCTTACTTACTACATAACTCTTTGTGATTATCAATATGGTTTTTGACCTATAGTCAATCCCATAAGTCTAGCTCTTTTAATACTCACAGTGACTTTTAGATCAAAATGTATAATGGTAAAGCAACTAATCAGACACAGATAAAACAATCTTGTATGTATCAATTATTCTTAATTCTTTTTTTTACTAGCAGAGGAAAAATAATAACTATTATTCTTGCTTTTGGAAATTGTAGAGTGGTCCCTATTTATGTTGTACCACATCTCTTGTGGCTCTTTCCCTCAGATGTTTCTGCTTTAGTAATTTGTCTTGCTTACTTATAAAATCTTATTATCAATAGTCCCCACATGCACATTATTATAAAATCATCGCTATGGTCTGAATGTTTCTGTCCCCCATAAAACTCATAAGTTAAAACCTAAACACCAATGTGATGGTATTAAGAGGTGTGGCCTTTGGGTGGTGGAACTGGTGCTCTTAAAAAAGAGGCCCCAGAGATCTGCCTTGTCCCTTTCATCATGCGAAATACAGCAGGAAGGCCGGGCGTGGTGGCACACGCCCTTTGGGAGGCTGAGGTGGGTGGATCACTTGATGCCAGTAGTTCGAGACCATCCTGGCCAAACCCTGTCTCTACTAAAAATACAAAAATTAGCTGGGCTTGGTGGTGCATGCCTGTAGTTCCAGCTACTCCAGAGGCTATGGCAGGAGCATTGCTTGAACCTGGGAGGCAGACGTTGCAGTGAGCTGAGATCATGCCACTGCACTCCGGCCTGGGTGACAGAGCAAGACTCTGTCAAAAAAGAAAGAAAGAAAGAAAAAGAAAGAGAGAAAGAAAGAGAGAGAGAAAGAGAGAAAGAGAGAGAGAGAGAGAGAGAGAGAGAAAGAGAGAGAGAGAGAGAGAGAGAGAAAGAGAGAAAGAGAGAAAGAGAGAAAGAGAGAAAGAAAGAAAGAAAGAAAGAAAGAAAGAAAGAAAGAAAGAAAGAAAGAAAGAAAGAAAGAAAGAAAGAAAGAAAGAAAGAAAGAAAGAAAAGTCAAGCCCAGAGTCATCAAGGGCTTACAAGACACTATATTTCTTGGACCCTGGTTGCCACTCTAACCTTGTCTCTTGTTTCTCTGCCCCCCTTTCATTCTCCTCTAGTTACATTGTCCTCCTTGTGATTTTTCAAGAATGCCAGGTATACTACTGTCTCAGTGCCTTTGTACTTGTTCTTCCTTTTGCCTGGAACCTTGTCCTTCAGATATCTGCAAAACTCACAGATCTTGTTGAAACGTCACTTGCTCATGAAGCCCCCTGACTACACTATTTAAGTTCCAATCATTACTCTCACCCTGTTGTCACTCCCTATCCCCCTCATTCTGTTCTATTTCCCCTCCATGACACTTATAGCCTTTTATTATATAATGCAACTTATTGATTCATTGTCTTTGTTGTCTCCTTCCTCGAACATGTAAGGTCACATGGACAGGGATTTTTGACTGTTTTATTCACTAATTATTTCATTGTCTGGAATAGATCTGGGCCAAAACTGGGCTGCTGCCTGTTTTTGTAAATAATGCTTTATTAGTGCACAACCACATTCATTCATTTATATATTGTCTTTGGCTGCTTTGACGCTAAAATGAGTTGTGTTGAGTCATTGTGACAGAAACTGCATGACCAGTAAAATTGAAAATATTTACTATCTGATCCCTCACAACAAATGTTTGCTGATCCTTGTTCTAGAATGATGACTGGCCATGGAGGAGGAGTGGAACTGGCAAGGACACTGAGAGGCAGCAGCTAATAGGGAAACAAGGAGACGTGGAATCCTACAAGCCAAGTGAAAAAAAACCTTTTTCTGGGAGGAAAGCGTAATCCACTATATCAAATGCTGCTTAACAAATGCTTGTTGAATGAATACTGGGAGACAGATGAAGGCCCCAGTGTTCCTCTCCCTGATGCTATTCCTCTTCCTCTTCTCAGCAGAGATAATCACTCATTGAAGTCATTCACATTTGTGACTTAAAGGGTATTACCTCTGTATGCATTTATTTTAAAAAATAAAATCTTTCTATGTTTTAAACTTGGTTTTTGTATTTTTTTTTTTGAAAGAGGTAAAATACACATACCATAAAATTCACCATTTTAACCTTTTTTTTTTTTTTTTTTTTTTTTGAGACAGAGTTTTGCTATTGCAGAGTTTGCTATTGTCACCCAGGCTGGAGCGTGGTGGCACAATCTCTGGGGTTTCACCCCAGAAAGAAACCTCATATCCATTAAGTAATTCTTACGTATTTTAAGACTTATTTACTTTTCCATCGTCAGCGTGGGGATCAAAAATAATCATAATACATACAATTAAAATTAAAAAAGGTATTTACTTAATACACATAGCTCTAATTCAGAAATCTCGGCTCACTCCAACCTCCACTTCCTAGGTTCAAGCAATTCTCCTGCCTCAACCTCCCAAGTAGCTGGGATTACAGGTGCCCACCACCACGCCTGGTTAATTTTTCATATTTTTAGTAGAGATGGGGTTTCACCATACTGGGCAGGCTGGTCTCGAATACTCCTGACCTCAGGTGATCCGCCCACCTCAGCCTCCCAAAGTGCTGGGATTACAGGTGTGAGCCACCACACCCAGCCTAGCCCTTTTAAAGCATATGATTCAGGGGAACTGAGTACATTCACAATATTGTGCAACCATAACCACTTTGTAGTTTCAAAACGTTTCATCACCCCAGAAAGAAACCTCATATCCATTAAGTAATTCTTATGTATTTTAAGACTGACTTACTTTACCATGGTCAAACTGGGGATCAAAAATAATCATAATAAAATTAAAATTAAAAAAGGTATTTACTTAAAACACATAGCTCTAATTCATTTATTTTAACTGCTGAATATTTATTTCTATTAATATTTCAAAATTTTCTTATCCATTCTTCTCAGTTTTGTTTTTAAGTTTCTCACTATTGACAAACAATGCTGCAATGAAGATTTTCCTTCATGTTGCCTTATGCAAATAAGGAAGAGTTTCTCTTAGATATATGCCCAGGAATGTAATTGCTGGATTGTGAAGTACATGCACAAATAACTTTACCAAATTTATTTCCAAAATGTACAGGAGTATACTTCTATTTCTTCTCTCTTATCTTTTGTCTCATTGTTATCATAGATTTACTTCTATACATAAGCCCCAAAATACATTGTTATTACTTTTGCTTTGAATAGATAATTATCTTTTAAAGAGATTTTAAAAACAGATTTTTTTTAGACAGAGTTTCACTCTGTTACCCAGGCTGGAGTGTGGAGTGCACTGGCACGGCAATCTTGGCTTACTGCAAACTCCGCCCCCTGGGCTCAAGTGATTCTCTTGCCTGAGCCTCCTGAGTAGCTGAGATTATAGGTGCCCACCACCACACCTGTCCAATTTTTGTATTTTTAGTAGAGACAGGATTTCACCATGTTAGTCAGGCTGGTCTCAAACTCCTGACCTCAGGTGATCCACCAGCCTTGGGCTCCCAGAGTGCTGGGATTACAGGCATGAGTCACCACGCCTGGCCATGGGGAAAAGTGTTTTATATATATCCACACATTTGCCATTTTTGGTGCTCTTCATTCCTCTATGTAGACCCAGATTTCTATCTGGCATCATTTTCCTTCTGTCTAAAGAACTTCTAGTATTTCTATAGTACATATCTGTTGGAAATTATTTTTTTCAGGCTTTATTTGACAGAAAAAGTATTTATCTTCTTTTCTGAGAGATATTTTTGCCTGATATCAAATTCTAGGTTGACAAAGATTTTCTTTCAGTCTTTCAAAGATATTACTCCATTGCTTTCTATCTTGCATAGTTTCTGATGAGAAGTCTGTTGTATTTCTTACGTGTTTCTTTATATGTAACATCTTTTTCTTTAGCGGCCTCAAAGATTCCTCTTTGTCACTGGTGTTCAGCAATTGCATTAGGATGTGTTTTGATGCCATTTCATTATGTTTATTCAGCTTGGGGTTTGTTGACCTTCTTGAATCTGCAGATTTAGAGTTATTTGAATTTGAACAATTTCAGTCATCAGTTTCCATTTTTTTCTGTACCTCTTTCCTTTTCCTGATATTCCAATTACATGTAAATTTGCTTGATATTGTCGCATAAGTTACTGAAGCTCTGCTTATGTTTTTCTGTAGTCTTTTTTTTCCTGTCTTCATTTAGAATAGTTTCTATTGCTATGCCTTCAAGTTCCCTGGTGTTTTCTTCCTCTTCATCTAATCTACTGTTCTGGGAAACCTACCCAATGCCCTGGGTATTAGTCTCTCCACTTTGGTGGGAACATGAACTATTTCCATCTCTGGATGAAGTTCAGGAAAATTCTTTGGCTCACTGCTTTCCAGCAAGACTTTCCTTGTCTTGATGGAAATTTACACTGTCTTTGTAAAGTTTTATTCCATGCATACACATATCTGCACTCAGTTAAAGATTAGAAAGATTCCCTCTGCAGATCTTTGAGGTTCTTGCTATGTTAAATTTTTAACATACAGTGCTCTTTTCCCCAGCAATCTGCTCTGAAAATCTAGCCTCTTCAGCCTGCCTGACTCCCAATATCCAACTCTAATTTTATGAGACTTTTGTATGAGGTTCCCTTTCCCTGTGCTGCAGCTTGGAAACTGCCTATAGGTAGCATGCTCAGGAAGGTGTAGGGATCAACTCACTTGTTTACTCCTTCTCAGAGATCCCAGTATTGCTCAGACTGTTGTTCAATTTTCCTAATTACTACATTTTTTTCTCATTATCTATTTATTTGCCATTTGGATGTCCTCTTCTATAAATTACCTGTCTATATCCTTTACACTGTTTTTTTTGTTTGTTTGTTTGTTTTTGTTTTTTTTTAAGAGACAAGGTCTTTGTTGCCCAGGCTGGAGTGCAGTGACACAATCATGGCTCACTGCAGCCTCAACCTCCTGGGCACATGCAATCCTCCTGCCTCAGTCTCCTGAGTAGCTGGTACTATAGGCACACACCACCATGCCTGGTTAATTTTTTCTTTGGTAGAGATGAGGTCTTGCTATGTTTCCCCAGCTAGTCTTGAGCTCCTGGCCTTAAGTGATTCTCCCTCCTCAGCCTCCCAAAGCACTGAGATTACAGGCATGAGCCACAGCACCTGACTACATTTTTTTTCCTACTAGGCTATATTTTATTTCATCTATTGATATTAGTTGTTCTTTATATACTCTAGATATTAGCTTTTTATTTAGTATTTTCTCCCCTCCCTCTCTTCCTTCCTCTCTCTCTTTCTCTCTCCCTTCCTTCCTTCCTTCCTCTCTCCCTTCCTTCCTTCCTTCCTTTCTTTTCTTTTCTTTTCTCTCCTTCCTTTCTTCCTTCCTTCCTTCCTTCCCTCCTTCCTTTTTTTTTTTTGACAAAGGATCGCTCTGTTGCCCCGGCTGGAGTACAGTGGCATGATCTCAGCTCACTGCAACTTCTGCCTCCGGGGTTTAAATTATTTTCCTGCCTCAGTCTCCCCAGCAACTGGGATTACAGGTGCACACCATCACACCCAGCTAATTTTTGTATTTTTAGTAGAGATGGGGTTTCCCCATGTTGGCCAGGCTGGTCTTGAACTCCTGACCTCAAGTGATCTGCCTGCCTCGGCCTCTCAAAGTGCTGGGATACAGGCATGAGCTACCTCGCCCGGCCAGTATTCTTTCTTTCTAGAACATTTTTCGTCTTCTCTCATTAGTTCCACATGACTACTTGAGGCTCTGTGGTAGAAAAAGTCTTGATAGGCCAGGCATCATGGCTCATGTCTGTAATCCCAACACTTTGGGAAGCCAAGGCAACTGGATCACCTGAGGTCAGGAGTTCAAGACCATCCTGGCCAATATGGGGGAAACCCTGCCTCTACTAAAAATACAAAAACTAGCTGGGTGTGGTGGTGCGTGCCTGTAATCCCAGCTACTCAGGAGGTTGAGGCAGGATAATTGTTTGAACCTGAGAGGTGGAGGTTGCAGTGAGCTGAGATTGTGCCACTGCACCCCATCCTGGATGACAGAGTGAGACTTTGTCTCAAAAAAAAAAAAAAAGAGAAGAAAAAGAAAAAGTCTTTATGGTAAAATAACACAATCTCTTATCTTTAGCTCTGAATTAAAGATCATATTAAGTAGAAATATAAGGTCCCTTGAGAAGGGGCCTTCCTAAGGCCTACTGCAATGGCATACATGGAGCAGATGAGCAATGCATTTTTCTTGAACCAAATTAGAATGGAATTTATTGCAGAGTTGGAATTAACTCTCCCCCAACATTAAGTCTGAGATAGCCACCCCAAGTGCTTTGATCCATAGTAAGAAAGGAGTTATATTATGACGAAAGTACAGAAAATTGTGCATCATTTGGAGGCCTGTGTCATCTATGGCCAAACACAGCTCTAGGTGTGTATCTGATAGTATCTGGTTACCCTCTTATGTGAACCTAGAACACAAAATAAGTTAAAACTCCAGTGCAATGTATTAATAATAGAGTCCCTTGAGACAGCTAAAATACCCGTTCTTGAAAAAGTTAACAAACTTTTATTTGTGCTCAAAAATTTCCGATGTTATCATTATTATTAAATTGTATTATTATTTTGTTTTGTATTATTTAGATTTCAATATTGTTTAATTATCATTATTTGATTGAGTTATCATTTAATTATTTAAACTTAATTATTATTAAGGAAAATAAATCTAGGCCTGCTGAATTGACTGGAATCAACCCTAGCAATATGACTCATACTTCAACTTTGCTCCGAGGGAGGTGCCTGCTAAGCACTCTTTGAATTTTTCATCCATTTCCTGGTTCTGAGTTTCACTGAACAAGTTTTTCCAATCACCAACTTCACCTACAACACACAAAAAATAGTAGACCCAGATATCTGTTAGAATATTTCTTCAGGATTTTACCATTTTCAGTGCAATATTTCACTCTGATATGTTAAAATGGACACATGGAAAAAGTTTTACACTCTTTGTTTAGTTTTTTCAGATGGTGTCTCGCTCTGTTGCCCAGGCTGGAGCGCCCTGGTGCGATCTTGGCTCACTGCAACCTCTGCCTTCTGGGTTCAAGCAATTCTCCCTGCCTTAGCCTACTGAGTAGCTGAGATTACAGGCGCCCGCCACCACACCCAGCTAATTTTGTATTTTTAGTAGAGATGGGGTTTTGCTATGTTGGCCAGGCTTGTCTCGAACTCCTGGCCTCAGGTGATCCGCCCGCCTCGGCCTCCCAAAGTGCTGGCATTACAGGCGTGAGCTACTGCACCCAGTCAAAAGTTTTACACTTTTAAAACCTAATGTGATTTCTGTTGTAAAATTAACAATATCCATTGGGACTCCACCATCTGTGGTGTGGGAGGTGACATGTCTTCTTTACATCACTAGGGGGAGCCCATCAGCCTCAATGATCCCTTAACCTTACTCCTCTCCAAACACCTAGAACTTGAAATTCCACTTTTTGAGAAATGATATTTTTCTTTCTAAAGTCTCTTAAAGACTTTAAATACCCTTTGAAAGTTAACATTTTATAGCAAGTTTTGGTTAAGACCTCAGATACTGATAATTTTGCAAAAATGTATTATTTTGCCTGAGTTTGGGATGTTTGTTCTTACTGGCTGTTACCAGTAAAGAAAGTTACTTTTTTCTTAATGATATTTTGAACCTTTAGGTCGAAGTTGTAAGTTCCATATTTCACTATGTTGGCCAGGCTGGTCTTGAACTCCTGACCTCATGATCCACCCACCTCGGCCTCCCAAAGTGCTGGGATTACAGGCATGAGCCACTGTGCCTGGCCTCAGAACTTCAGTGTTTTTTACAATAAAATTTAAGCCCAACAAAATGTTTAATATATGATAGATGCCTGCTGTTAGCTGTTGTTGTCCTTGCTGGTATATGTGCTACCTCTACATCTCATTATTTCATTATATACTCAATGAAAAATAACACTGGCAATCCTTAAGCTATATTATCACACATTTTCACAAGAACTTAGAATACTTTAATGAAATATAGTAAATATTATCCATGTCAGAGAGAGCTAATTGCCTCTCCCATAGTCATTTTCTTCCTCTTCCTTATTGACAAAGCCCTGATTTTAACTGTGTAGTAATATGCCTGGCTTAAAAAAGTCACATTTCCCAGCCACCACTGCAAGGAAAGTGGCCAATGAAATGTAAGAAGTCATTGGCCAGGCATGGTGGCTCACACCTGTAATCCCAGCACATTGGGAGGCCGAGATGGGTGGATCACCTGAGGTCAGGAGTTCGAGACCAGCCTGGCCAACATGGTGAAACGCCATCTCTACTAAAAATACAATAATTATCTGGGCATGGTAATGGGTGGCTATAATCCCAGCTACTCAGAAGGCTGAGGCAGGAGAATCAATTGAACCCAGGAGGCGGAGGTTGCCATGAGCTGAGGTTGCACTACTGTACTTCAGCCTGGGTGACAGAGCAAGACTCTGTCTTAGAAAAAAAAAGAAAAAGAGAGAGAGCAAGAAAGGAGTCACTGGCCAGGTGCGGTGGCTCACACCTGTAATCCAGCACTTTGGGAGAGGAGTCTGAGACCAGCCTAGCCAATATGGCAAAACCTCGACTCTACTAAAAATATAAAAAAATTAGCCAGGCATGACAGTACACACAAGAATCTCGTGAACCCAGGAGGCAGATGTTGCAGTGAGCCGAGATTGTGCCACTGCATTCCAGCCTGGGCAACACAGCAAGATTCTGTCTCAAAAAAAAAAAAAGTCACTGATGGGGCTTCCAGCTCAACTAATACGATTCTGCCCCTTGCCCACTCACTTTCTCCTATCTGAATTTGAACATAATAGTTGAACTTCAGCTGCTATCTTATTTTCAGAAGGTCATCATCAGAAAGGACTCTCAACTACAGAAAGGACTGTAAAAGACGATATGGGGCAGCCAGGCACGGTGGCTCATGCCTGTAATCCCAGCACTTTGGGAGGCCAAGGCGGGTGGATCACAAGGTCAGGAGATCAAGACCATCCTGGCCAACATGGTAAAATCCCGTCTTTACTAAAAATACAAAAAAATTAAGTGGGTGTGGTGGCGGGCGCCTGTTAGTCTCAGTTACTCGGGAGGCTGAGGTAGGAGAATCACTTGAACCCGGGAGGTGGAGGTTGCAGTTAGCCAAGATCGAGCCACTGCACTCCAGCCTGGGCGACAGAGCGAGACTCCATCTCAAAACAAAGAAATAAACAAAAAAAGATGGTATGGGGCTGCCAGTTACAGCTCTGGAGAGCCTGTCCCCAGACCTCTTACTGAGGCAGAGAAAAATAAAACCCTATCCTACTTAAGATAAAGTTATTTGGATTACCTATTGTGTGCATAGTCAGTCCCTAACTGATACAATCCCAGAAACCAGTGCAACTTTACCTTTGCGGAAAAGGAATGGGCCGACAGCACCGTGTGTGTCCTGAGATTTTGCACGCATTGCTTGGAAGGTGCTCTGGACTGAGATAGTTTGAATTTGCTCCCCAGTTAGAAAGAATCCCAAGAACTCAGCAATCTGTTTTATTCCAGCAGCCAGATTCTGTAAAAAAAAATTTCTTAAAGATAAACTTCTTCCTATGGGAATTGTTCTCTGCGCTAAGACAGACTTTTTAGTCATCAGAGTTATTAAGCCTAACTCCCTAGTTCATCTTATACCCCCCCTTTAGAGTACTTTCATCTTCTCATATCAATATTGAGATATCTCTGTAAGATATTCTGTATTGATTATACTTTGTAGTTTCAACTTATGACTCTTGTTGAACTTACCAGATAATAGTTTTTAGCATGTAAATAATGACAGTAACATTAATTCACAGGTTATAATTTTATCTAGGATGATATCATTGCATTAAAAAGCACCAACCTAGACCAGCTGAGGAAATTAATGTATTCCTATGTGCTCATTTGAATTCTCTTTTTTCTGAATTCTATTTATAGTTAATGTTTAATTCCATTAAGAAAGTCTAATTTTTAGAATCATAAAAACTTGAAGAAAGTTTTTTTTTTTTTAGAAAGAGTCTTGCTCTGCTGCCCAGGCTAGAGCGGTGCAAGGGCACCATCACGGCTCACTGCAGCCTCGACTTCCCAGGCTCCAGCAGTCTTCACACCTCAGCCTTCTGAATAGCTGGGACAACAGGTGTGTGCGACCACGTCTGGCTAATTCTTGTATTTTTGTAGAGACAGGGTTTTGCCATGTTGCCCAGGCTGCTCTCAGAGTCCTTAATAGACCAGTGCACAATGTGAATCTCCAAGAGAGCAGGCTGTAGAACACAGCACTTCCTAAATCTATTTAAATAACCTCCTCCCAAACCTCAAGAAATAATTTTTAACAGCTGTGGCAACACTTGTATTCTATGGTGCACAAGTTTCAGAAACATTATTCTAAACTATAATTAATATGTTCTTTCATATTATATACATGCATCCTATAAACAGAAAGGGTAGATTAAATTACACTTTTTTTTTTTTTTGAGACGGAGTTTCTCTCTTGTTGCCCAGGGTGGAGCACAGTGGCATGATCTTGGCTCACTGCACCCTCCACCTCCAGGGTTCCAGCAATTCTCCTGCCTCAGCCTCCTGAGTAGCTGGAATTACAGGTGCGTGCCACCATATCAGGCTAATTTTTGTACTTTTAGTAGAAACAGGGTTTCACCATGTTGGCCAGGTTGGTCTCGAACTCCTGACGTCAGGTGATCCACCCACCTTGGCCTCCCAAAGTGCTGGGATTACAGGCGTGAGCCACTGTGCCTGGCCTAAACCATATATATATTTTTTTGTTTTTTGTTTTGTTTTGTTTTTTGTTTTTGAGAGAGTCTTGCTCCGTGGCCCAGGCTGGAGTGCAATGGTACAATATCAGCTCACTGAAACTTCTACCTCCTGGGTTCAAGTGAGTCTCCTGCCTCAGCCTCCTGAGTAGTTGGGATTACAGGCGTGCACCACCACACCCAGCTAATTTTTGTATTTTCAGTAGAGACGGGGTTTCACTGTGTTGGTCAGGCTTGTCTCAAACTCCCGACCTCAGGTGATCCATCCACCTTGGCCTCTCAAAGTGTTGGGATTACAGGCGTGAGCCACTACGCCTGGCCTAAACCACATTTTCTTTGTATAAGAATATAATGGAAGACTGGTATTAGAAACTCAATTAAGTTAAGGAGCACTTGATACTCCCTTCTCTTTAACATGCTTTCTCCACAGGACTCTGCTTTCCTTCCTACCTCATAGCCCTTCCCCCTTCCTGGTCTCCTTTGCTAATTCCTCCTTTTTTCCCCAAACTCTTTAAATTGGTGGGCTCCGAGACTCAGTTCTTGGTCATCTTCTCTCTATATATACCCAGGTATATATTTCCACAGCTTTAAAGCACATCTATGTGTCAGCGATGCCCAAACTTTATCTATAGCCCAGAACTCTCTGTACTTGCAAGGCTTGTACGCCCAACTGCCTACCTGACCTCTCAATTAGGATGACTAATAAACATCTTAAATTTAATGTGTCCAAAACCAAACCTCTGATCTCCCCGACAGTCATTCACCTGCTGCCATCTCCTACTCAATTGATGGCAACTCGGCCCTCAATATTATTGGTCAGGCCAATAAAATTGGAGGCTTACTTGACTTCTCTCCTTCTCTTGCCACTCTCCCCTCCATCCAATTCAGCAGCAAATACTGTTGGCCCTCCCTTCAACATATATCCAGAATGCAACCTCTTCTCATCCCCCGCATGGCCCCTTCTTGGCCTGAGCCACCATCTTCCTTTGCCTGGACTATTGCAGTGCCCTCTTTACAGCCCTCCCAGCATTTGCTTTGCTGCAGTTCACTCTCACTAGCCAGAACGATCTTGTTAAAAACACATCTGCTCCAATCACTCCTCTGCTCAGATCCCACAATGGCTTCCCACTTTCCTCAAAGTGAAAGCCAGAGTCAGCGGCTTGCCATTCTATCCCTCATATTCCATCCTACCTCCTTGACTCTGTCCTCATTGGCTGTTCAGCCCTGGTTTATTCCTGCGGACCCAGGCACATCTGCTGTCTCTTAATCTCACCAGGACTATCCCAGCTTTTGCTCCAGTTGATTCCCTCTGCCAGAAATACTCTTCCCCAATTACCTACTTGGCTCACTCCCCCACTTCCCTCAGATCTTTGCTCAAATCACATCCCCTCAATAAGGTCTCTCCTAACCTTCCTGTTCCTTTTTTTGTTTTGTTTTGTGATACAGGATCTCACTCTGTCACCCAGGCTGGAGTGTAGTAGTCTAATCATGGCTCACTGCAGCCTCCACCTCCTAGGCTCAAGTGATCCTCCTGTCTCAGCTTCCTGAGTAGCGGGTACTACAGGTGCATGCCTAATTTTTTAGAATGTGCCCAGGGTGGTCTCAAACTCCTGGTCTGAAGTGATCTGCCTCAGCCTCCCAAAGTGGTGGGATTGTAGGTATGAGCCACCACACCAGCCTGAGCACCATATTTTACACTGGAATGTGTCCAGTCCTTCCCCGTGCCTCGCACCCCAGCATTTTAAATTTTCCTTCACTAGCTGTGCTGTTTCTTTTCTTCTCACATGCTATATACATTTTTAAAATTATTGTGTTTATTATCTATCATTCTTTCTTTCTACCTTCTCCAACTGGCATGTAAGTTACTGTAGGGCAGTGATCTTTGTTTAGTCTGTTCATTGATGTATCACCAGGGCCTAATTGGTGAGCAATCACTTACTAGATACTTGTTACATCAATAAACAATTTTTTAAAAATAACTTGACTGGAAAAATTAGTTCACAATAAAATGTATGTTCAATTAAATCAACTGAGACCTACCTATTTGTTTTTTGTTCTTTGTTTTTTTTTTATTACGAATTTGAGCTATCCATCATAAAGGGAAAATAAAGCAGTCACTTTTAGTAATAAGTTGCTAAGCATTATTTTATTTCTGTTAAATAAACAACCTAAGCATGTATGCATGGTTTGAGTTTTCTTTTCTAGCACTGTACCATGTATCTGGAATATTTTAAAAAATTGAACACCATATTTGTTCATACAATCGAACATTATAAGTAAGTGCTCTATGTTGTAGTTTACAAGAAATTTTGCTCTAAAATATCAATAATAATCTCACCTCTTTCAGGTCTTCATACAATACGAACTTAACATTGTCGCCATCAAGATGTTTGTTCCAATTGATTGCAAAATCAAAATAGCTTCCCCAAGAAACTAAAAACACAGTGGGGAAGACTTTGAGAAATGTTGAATAACAGAGGTTAAAATGACAGTTAATTTATGCTATAAAATATAAACTATACATATGTGTATATGCTCGAGATATGTTTATGTTATTATAAATCCCTGCCACCAAAAGGTGACAGAAATCAGTCCCATTGTCTAAATTTCTATTTATTTTCTTACCTTTTGGAACGTTTTTCATAAATAACACAAAATTAAGCAAATTACAAAAATGATTTACAAAAACTACAAGACATTCATGAATATTTAGGTGGATAAAAAAATTCAGAAATAGTGAATGACACATGAAACCCGACAGAGATAATGCCAGAAAGAAATGATGAAAAAGACATTTTCTAGGCTGTCATTGTTCAAAAAAAAATGTAATGCTAGCCATATATGTAATTTTAAAAAAACAAATGAAATTAATTTTAATGTTTTACTCCACTTAACATAATTTATCAAAAATATTATTCCATCATGTAATCTACAAAAATTTATGAGTGAAGCATTACATTCTTTTTTTTTTTTTTTTTTTTTTTTGAGACGGAGTCTTGCTCTGTCGCCCAGGCTGGAGTGCAGTGGCCCGATCTCAGCTCACTGCAAGCTCCGCCTCCCGAGTTTACACTATTCTCCTGCCTCAGCCTCCCGAGTAGCTGGGACTACAGGCGCCCGCCACCTCGCCCGGCTAGTTTTTTGTATTTTTTTTAGTAGAGACGGGGGTTTCACTGTGTTAACCAGGATAGTCTCGATCTCCTGACCTCGTGATCTGCCCATCTCGGCCTCCCAAAATGCTGGGATTAAGGCTTGCGCCACCGTGCCCGGCCACTTTACATTCTTTTAATATTCTAAATCTTCAAAAGCCATTGAGTATGAGACATACACTGAGAATCTCAATTTAGATGCTAAATTTTTATTGAAAATACTTGATGTATGTTTAGATTTAATAAAACTTACAGTTTAAAAAGTATATTCACAAAACTAACTTATTACACTTACTTAAAAGTTTTCCAGTAGGCCACGCATGGTGGGTCACGCCTGTAATCCCAGCTCTTTGGGAGGTCAAGGCAGGTAGATTGCCTGAGCTCTGGAGTTGGAGACTAGCCTGGGCAACATGATGAAACCCTGTCTCTACTAAAATACAAAAAATTAGCTGGGCTTGGAGGCCTGCACCTGTAATCCCAGCTACTCGGGGGGCTGAGGCAGGAGAATTGCTTGAACTTGGGAGGCAGAGGTTGCAGTGAGCCGAGATTGTGCCACTGCACTCCAGCCTGAGCAATAAAGCGAGACTCCATGTCCAAAAAAAAAAAAAAAAAAAAAGTTTTCCAGTAACTGAATTGTATATCCATTAAAAATTTTGAATTAATTCAAATTTTTTAAAATGAAAAATTTAGTTATTTAGCACCAGTCCCATTTCAAGTGCTCAGTTGTCACATGTGGTTAGTGGCTACCACGTTGGACAGTGCGGATGTAGACACGGATCAGCTGTGCTGTTTACGAGCTGTGTAACTTTGAGCAACTCCTAAAACTCCTTGTAGCTTAGATTCCTCATCTGTAAAATGGGGCGTTATGAGGTTTAAATGAATTAACACATGTCAAATGCTAAAAACAGTGCCTGCTTCACTGTAACACTAGCTTTTTTGTGTGTGTGTGTGAGGGAGTCTTGCTCTGTCACCCAGGCTGGAGTGCAGTGGTGCGATACTGGCTCACTGCAACCTCTGCCTTCTGGGTTCAAGTGATTCTCCTGTCTCAGTCTCCTGAGTAGCTGGGACTACAGGCACATGCCACCATGCCTGGCTAACTTCTGTATTTTTAGTAGAGACGGGGTTTCACCATATTGGTCAGGCTAGTCTTGAACTCCTGACCTCGGGTGATCCACCCGCCTCGGCCTCCCAAAGTGCTGGGATTACAGGTGTGAGCCACCCCACCCGGCCTCAATAGCCATTACTATTATTATCATTACTATTATTAATAATATAATTATTATCACGATCATTGTTATCATGAAGCCCTCGCTTTGAGCCAGGCAGTTTCTATGTGTTTTATTTGCTGTCACGAATACTGTTAAGTTGTCCACCCAACATCCAATACATCCTCTTTTTTGTTGCTAACCAAACCCTGATTATTTGGGTCTAAGTTGATCATGACAATTCTGTTTCTTGATATCCTGCCTTCCTCAGAGCTGTAAGTGGCCACATGAAATGGTTCCGCCCAGTGAGACACAAGCAAGAGTCTGCTGGAAGGTTTCTGGCAAAACTATTGCTGTGTGGAGCTAAGGAACACATTTGGCTACTGCTATCCTTCCTCCTTTTTCATGACCTAAAGGTGATGATTGGAAGGATAGTAGCCAATTTTAGGGGCTATTGCAAAAAGTATGAGAGAGAGGCCAAGGGAATATCAGAGGTGCAGGCCAGTGATCCCAGGAACCGGCCACCTACCTTCAGACTTCCTATTAAATGAGAAAAACAAACCTTTCCAAGGATGGATAGGGAAACAGAGACTCCCTAAAATAGATTGTCCCACTGATGACAAGTTTCTCATCATCATTTGCAACAACATGGAGGGAGGACATTATGTTAACCAAAATAAGCTAGATACAAAAAGAAAAATATGGAGCCTGGGCAATATAGTGAGGCTCCAACTCTACAAAAAGAAAAAAAAATCAGCAGGTCATGGTGGTGCGTGCCTGTGCGTGCCAGCTACTTAGGAGGCTGAGGATCACGTGAGCCCAGGAGGTCAAGGCTGCAGTGAGCCGCGCCGCTGCACTCCAGCCTAGGTGACAGAGTGAAACCTTGTCTCAAACAAAAAAAAAAAAAAAGAAAAGAAAAGAAGAAAAGAGAAGAAGAAGAATACACCGTGATCTCACTTACATGTGGAATCTTTACAAAGTCAGATACATAATAGAGAGTAGGATGCTGGTTACAGGGGTGGGGAAGGGCAGGAAATGGGAAGACATAAGTCAAAAGGTACAAACTTGTTACGTAGTTAGGAATTATTCAGTTATGAGTATCTTGAGATCTAATGTACAGCATGAGGATGGCAGTTAATGACAGTTAATGATTTTATACCATATAATATTTGTTAAAAGAGTAGATTTTAGGTGTTCTTACTAAACACAAAAAAGGTAATTGTGTGACATGATGGAGATGTTAATTGGCTTGATTGTATTAATCATTATGTATATGGTGAAATATCATGTTGTATACCTTAAATATATACAACAAAAATAATTTTAAAAAGTAGTCCTCTTAGAGTGAACTGACAACAGCTTCTCCTCTAGGGTCATTGGGCTTTAATATCCCGTTTATTACACCGTAGAGACTCAAAGAAGCCACTAATAAAAGGAATCAGTTACTGGTCTCTGGCCACTATACTCATGGATATAGAGTCACTGCCACTTCTAAGCATTGGCAAGTGATTTAACTTTTTTTTCTGAAATGGAGTTTCACTCTTGTTGCCCAGGCTGGAGTGCAATGGTGCCTTATCTGCTCACTGCAACCTCTGCTTCCTGAATTCAAATGGTTCTCCTGCATCAGCCTCACAAGTAGCTGAAATTACAGGCATTAGCCACCCCGCCTGGCTAATTTTGTATTTTTATTTCTTTATTTTTTATTTTATTTTATTTTATTTTTTGTGTTGAAGTTTTGCTCTGTCACCCATGCTGGAGTGCAGTTGATCAATCTCGGCTCACTGCAACCTCCGCCTCCTGGGTTCAAGCAGTTCTTCTGCCTCAGCCTCCTAAGTAGCTGGGATTATAGGCATGCGCCTCCACACCTGGCTAATTTTTGTATTTTTAGTAGAGATGGGGTTTTGCCATGTTGGCCAGACTAATCTCAAACTCCTAACCTCAAGTCATCCGCCCACCTTGGCCTCCCAAAGTGCTGGAACTATGGACGTGAGCTACTGTGCCTGTCTGATTTATATTTTGATTAGTTTTCTCATCTGTTCAATGGAGCTAATACCACCTTACTCATAGTTTGTCATAAATCTTAAATAAAATAATGCATAGACAACCCCTACTTTAGCACCTGGAGCATTAGTAGACACTTGTAGTTATCAATAAACCAGAGACAAAATATCAACATGTTTAACAAAAACTTATTTCTCACAAAAACTTATTTTCTTTCTAGCAAACAAATGTCTTAGGTATAGTAGCACAGTGTCATGTGTCATGGTTTTTTAAAAAATTTTTTGTTTTTATCAATGTTATATAGTGACAAAGAAGTTAACTACAAATGGTTTTCTACATCACTCTCTGTTAAAGCTCTCTTTGGTCACTCTGTACTCATAGTCAACATATGACTTGTCCAAATTGGTTTGCTTTTTTGTTTTGTTTTGTTTTTTGTTTTGAGATGTAGTCTCGCTCTGCCAAACTGGGGTGCAGTGGCACTATCTCAGCTCACTGCAACCTCTGCCTCCTGGGTACAAGCAATTTTCCTGCCTCAGCCTCCGGAGTAGCTGGGACTACAGGTGTGTGCCACCACGCCCGGCTAATTTTTTGTATTTTTAGTAGAGACAGGGTTTCACTGTGTTAGCCAGGATGGTCTCGATCTCCTGACCTCGTGATCCACCTGCCTTGACCTCCCAAAGTGCTGGGATTACAGGCGTGAGCCACCGCGCCCAGCCCCAAATTAGTTTTTAAAACAGCAATGCATTTAATTGTGGGATGCACAGAACTAATGGTGTTATAACAGTTCATTTAAGTGTAACTTTTTGGTTCCCAGATCTACCTAAATCTTCTTCCTTTACCCTAAAACACATTTGGGTTTTCACATTTGTGTGGTCATCTGTTCAAGTAAGAAGAATTCTTTTACCAACAGCCATACCTTGTCCTTTCATGAACTGTCTGAAGAATTCATCCCAAGAGCAATAGCTTGGAATATCGGGGACGTCGTTGTGGAAATGGAAAAAAGATACTGCCGTATCTTTAGGATTTCGAAATATTACCAATATCTAGGGAGCAAAAACTGAGTTAATTTAGGTTATTTAGGTCTATGTTTTGAAATCTGGAAAATTGACAGGGCGAGCAATATCATGTCCACTCGTATATTACATAATTGTGTTAATATAGAGAGAAAGAATGACAGTAGGAAACTGAGGAACAGGAGGTGGCTGATGGGGAAATCTGGGGAAAGGAGAGAAAGAAAGAAGAAGAAAAAGATTGATATTGTAGCAGAGGATTCTTGCTAATGAATTTAGGCAACAAAATGCATGGAAGATGTAAAAAGAAAAAAAAAGACCAAGCTCACTAGGATAATCACAAAAGTATGACCTGAAAGTTTAAACCCCCAAATAAAAATTGCGAATAATGTTAAGGACGACAAAAATAATGTCTTAGAGTTGGTGAGAGAAGATTAAACAATGGCAAAGCCCACTCTCTGGGTATGATGTTCATGGGTGAGTAGATGACACAGAACGTCTGAATTCCTATATCTGTCTTCTCTGATGAGGAAAGTGTTCCTTTGGATGAGTAGCATGAAATAAACATTGTAAAGAACAAACTGAAACCCCAGAGAACTAAAAGATTGTAGAGGATCACACGTCTGCTCCAAGTTCAGCCTTCTGGCCTGAAGCCTTCCATTTCAAGAACTGAGGAAACTGGAGGACACATGATCCAGCATGTTCCTGAATTCCGAGGAATCTGAAAACATGTGAGGCCAGACAACTAGAACAGGCAGAAGTCATTTCCCTTTCAGAAAGGGGAAAGATGTGGATTTTGCAAAGTGCAGATTTGTGATATTCACTTTCATTTGGGAGAAGTCTAGAATTGACTAAAAACAAGATTTGGGGCCACATAAAGGAGGAAACTGTAACCAACAGGGGGCAACATGGATCCTCTAACAACAAGTCAGTTAACACGTGGATTTTTTCAACGTGGTTTTAGATTAGTAGGTGGAGTAGTATATGCTTTCTCCAACAAAAAAAGTAAGAATGTAAGCCAGCAGCAGGAGCAGTTAGGCATATGAAACTCACTGGGGGCTGGGCGTGGTGGCTCACGCCTGTTATCCAGGCACTTTGTGAGGCTGAGGCAGGTGGATTACTTGAGGTCAAGTTCAAGACCAGCCTGGCCAACATGGAAAAACCCTGCCTCTACTAAAAATACAAAAATTAGCCAGGCGCGGTGTTGCGCACCTGTAGTCCCAGCTACTCGGGAGGCTGAGGCAGGAGAATTGATTGAACCTAGGAGACGGAGGTTGCCGAGATCGTGCCATTGCACTGCATCCTGGGCAACAGAGCAAGACTCCGTCAGAAAAACAACAACAACAACAAAACTGACTGGGTATAAATAGTTAATTAACTAATGTAAACCTGCTGGGAGGTTTTTAATAAGCCCTTCCACTATCTTGGCTGGGTCATAGTTAATATTTTAATTAATGATTTAGGTAAAGATATAGAAGCTCTATTTACCAAATTTGTAAATAACATGACAGTGGGAGGGAATCAGGATATCAAAATACCTTGTCTGCCTAAAGAATTTAACTAACACTAACAGGATAAAATTGAGTAGAGATCAGTGGGTCTGGGTCTTGTCTTGTGCTTAGATCTAACACTCATCCCTGCCGCCAGTCCAAATACAGTAGATTCTTGTCATTTGAGGGTTTTATATTTGAGACTTTCGCTACCACTCAATGGTCCTGGCTGGTAGCAATCTGTAAGTCTACAAAGACGTCAATTTAAATTTGAGAGCTAATTGGCTGGAGTACGAACAAATTCCACACATCAACATCTTACCTCCCTGCTGTTGCTCTTGTTTTTTGTTGTTGTTTTTGAGACTGGGTCTGACTCTGTCATCCAGGCTGGAGTGCAGTAGTGTGATCTCGCTTACAGCAACCTCTGCCTCCTGGGCTCAAGCAATCCTCCACCTCAGCCTCCCAAGTAGCTGGGACCACAGCGGTGCACCACCATGCCCAGCTGATTTTTGTATTTTTTGTAGAGACGGGGGTCTCACTATGTTACCCAGGCTGGTCTTGGACTCCTGGGCTCAAGTGATCCTCCTGCCTCAGCCTTCCAGAGTGCTAGGATTACAGATGTGAGCCACTGCATCCAGTCCCTGTTGCTCTTTTCTTGCCCTTGTGTTCTTACAAATGTGAAACTCTGTTCAAAAGCCTGTGTGCCCCAAGTCCAACGCTTTATAAATTACTTCAGCTCTGTTTATTATAGAGACTCTAAGGAAAAATGTGTTAACTGCATTCAACGGGGGAAATTATGTGTTAAAGTGGTATTTCAGTCTTTACAAATACGCAATACAAGGAAAAACTGTTTAACAGCGCTATTCAAAGCTGGCTTAGGGGATCCTGGAGATCTTTATCATTGGAGGTGCTCAATCATGGTCCAGCTGCTCAGTGGAATTCAAACACTCGATGGGAATTAGCACAGATGACCTTTAAGATATTTTCCCATTTTAAGCTACTAGGATTCTTGTATTATGTCCACAAAGCTGCTCATTCTAAACCTCCACTTCCCTAAGGTTTGCTTTCCTACTCTTCCTTTCTTATTCTGCTTCCCCTCCTGTCTCTTACCATTGAAACTGTAGTTATCTTAACAGTTTTCCTCTTTTGCCTTTATTTGTTCTTATCTCAGTAGTCTCCCATTCTTGCTAGCATTCAGCGGGAGTTTAATTTTTTTTTTTTTCAGACAAGGTCTCGCTCTGCCACGTAGGCTGGAGAGCAGTGGTGAGATTTTGGCTCACTGCAACCTCTGCCTCTCGGATTCAAGTGATTCTCCTACCTCAGCCTCCCAAGTAGCTGGGATTACAGGCACGTGCTATCACACCTAGCTATTTTTAGTAGGTTGGTGCAAAAGTAATTGGGGTTTTTGCCATTAAAAGTAATGCAAACGGCTGGTCTCAAACTACTGACTTCAAGTGATTTGCCCACCTTGGCCTCTCAAAGTGCTGGGATTAGAAGCATGAGTCACCACACCCTGCAGGGAATTTAAATCTTGATTGTAACTAATTCAAATCATTTTCTTCTGAGACAGAAAAAAGGCACCAAGAAATAAGGAATAGAGGGGAGACCAGGTGAGAGGAAACAGAAAGGGTTAGGTAAAAACTAGTAATTACAAGAAATATATCAATACTGATTAATAAAAAAACATTTTTAAACAAATTGTAAGAACAGCCAAAGCACATATAGTTCTGTATGCATGCTGTAAAGTTTGTTACTATATGTGAAATTCAAAAATAAAATAGTTTTAGCCAGGCATAGTGGCTCATGCCTGTCATCTCACCACTTTGGGAGGCCTTGGTGGCAGAAGGATCCCTCAAGGCCAGGAGTTCAAGGCCAGCATGGGCAACACAGTGAGATGCTGTCTCCATAAAATTTTTAAATATATTTGAAAAAATAGTTTTAGGCCTCAGGTAAATAGTGCTCACCAAAAAGAAACAAAGGAACAATTTCTTTTCTCATTTTACTAGATTGTATTTTGTGTGTGTGTTTGAAACACTAAATATTCTAGCGGGATTCGGAAAATTATTCACTGTAAAACAGATTATAAAACACACTTTATTCTATGCATATGTTTTATATCCTTGTTGAAAATGCATTTGACTTGACTGCAGCTATAGCAAATATACGTCAAGAAAGAAACAAAAAAATTAAATGTCGCACTTCATTTACTAAGCTTCTATAAGGAGGAACAAACTCATACTTCCAAAAACTAATATCTATACATAGAAATTTCAAAGAATTATCAGTAGGAAAGGACACTCACCTTGGCTTTATTCTTGAAGATAGACTCAGGTAATTTGTCATAGTGGAGATGAGTTGCCAAAATCCTTGGTGATGGAAAGCCTTTCATTCTCTTAAAAATATACACAAAAAGGTGAAAATGTGCATGTGTGTGTATGTGTGTGTGTGGAATCACTCCTAGGTGTCGTATCTAAATGACAGTTTCCAGCACTACTGTCACTATATCTTCTCCTCCTCCTCCAATTTTTCTTTCTTTCTTGTTTTTGAAACAGAGTCTCACTCTGTCGCCCAGGCCGGAGTGCCGTGGTGCGATCTCAGCTCACTGCAACCTCCACCTTCCAGGTTCAAGCAATTCTCCTTTCTCAGCCTCCCGAGTAGCTGGGATTACAGGTATCCACCACCACGACCAGCTAATTTTCGTGTTTTTAGTAGAGACAGGGTTTCGCCATGTTGGCCAGGCTGGTCTGAAACTCCTTACCTCAGGGGATCCGCTCGCCTCAGCCTCCCAAAGTGCTGGGATTACAGGCGTAAGCCACCACACCTGGCCAATTTTTCTTTATTTCTGTTTTCTTACTTTGTGGAGATGAGGAATGAAGAATCATAGATAAACAAATAATTAAAATATTCTTGAATTTCTTTGTTGTACCCTGCTTACCATTTCCCAATCATTTTTGTAATTTTTTAAAAAATTACCTTTTCCCACAATCATATCAAATCCATTTCGTTCAAGACCGCTCATAATCTGAAATATACACTTTCAACCGGGCTCAGTGGCCCACGCCTGTAATCCCAGCACTTTGGGAGGCCGAGGTGGGCGGATCACGAGGTCAGGAGATCGAGACCATCCTGGCTAACACGGTGAAACCCCATCTCTACTAAAAACATAAAAAATTAGCCGGGCATGGTGATGGGCACCTGTAGTCCCAGCTACTCAGGAGGCTGAGGCAGGACAATGGTGTGAACCCGGGAGGCAGAACTTGTAGTGAGCCGAGATTGCGCCACTGCACTCCAGCCTGGGTGACAAAGCGGGACTCCGTCTCAAAAAAAAAAAAAAAAAGAAATATACACTTTCACTTAATTTGGATCTCTTCTATATTGAAGGTCTTTAACAGAAATAGTGAAGTCTTTCCACAGTTCCTGCAAATCCATTTTTAACATTTAAATCTTTCTGTTTAACCAGCTAAAACTCTAGGCAATAAAATATCTCAATGGAACCTGAAAGTGCAGAGTTACTTAAATGTCTGAGAAATGTTTTATGAGAGAAATATACTGTCAGTATATGGACTAAGGTGATTGATTCTTTTTTTGTAATCTATTTCTATAGATAATTTTGAAGATAAAATTATCTATTTAATCTGCCAGGATTAAGGGTTTTCACTTACAATCAGACCATTAGTATATGTTATGCAGGGAAGTAAGGCTTCAAGTTTTTAGTCCCACATCTGTAGAGGTCACTCACTGCTTGGTTGCAGCTACAATATAACTACTCACTGTAAGTGATAAAAGGATATTCAGATGTTTGTAGCCAATTGTTCTGTAAAAACTTAGTGGAGGCTGGGCATCCTGACCAACATGGTGAATCCCCGTCTCTACTAAAAATACAAAAAATTAGCTGGACGTGGCGGTGTTTGCCTGTAGTCCCAGCTACTCAGGAGGCTGAGGCAGGAGAATCACTTGAACCCGGGAGGCGGAGGTTGCGGTGAGCTGAGATAGCGCCACTGCACTCCAGCCTGGGCGACACAGTGAGACTCCACCTAAAAAAAGAAAAAAAAAAAACTTAGTGAAGATCTCAACTCAAGCAAGGGGACAAAAAATGAAATTTAAAAAATAAAACACACTTTAAATCAATGATATGGGCCCAAGTGGTGACTAGCAGTGTAAAATCTCATTTATATCAAACTATACTTTTAAACATTTGAAGCATTTTCATACTCATTCATACTCATTCACAACAATCCTCTCAGGTAGATATTATAACCCCCATTTTAGAGATTAAGAACAGGCTTTGAGGTTTTAAGCACTTTGTGCAAAATTGCACAGGTGATTATTTTCAGATTAAGTTATAGAGTGTGGTTTCCACGAAACTTCATGGCCAAAAATCATGTACAGACACATGAGAAATGGTAAAGTTACTAAAAGGATTAGAAAAGCACCCAAGGGAAAAATGGAGGTCAACTGTAATAAAATTAGATAGCTACATAATATATACTACTATGTTCATTAAAATGTATAATATAGCCCAAGTGTGAGCAAAGACTAGATACCTTATTTAAGGAAAAATATGTATTCCAGAAAAGTTCTCTAGAAACCTTATGTAAGGAAAAATATGTATTCCAGAAAAGATCTCTGCAAAGCAAATAATTGTTAAGTGAAGTTCATTTCACTGATTTCCGTTTAAAAATAAAGGACATATTGGCCAAGCGTGGTGGCTCACGCCTGTAATCCTAGCACTTTAGGAGGCTGTGGGGGGTGGATCACTTGAGGTCAGGAGTTCGAGAGTAGCCTGTCCAATGTGATGAAACCCTGTCTCTACTAAAAATACAAAAAATTAGCCAGGCATGGTGGTGTACACCTGTAATCCCAGCTACTCGGGAGGCTGAGGCAGGAGAATCGCTTGAACCCAGGAGGTGGAGGTTGCAGTGAGAGGAGATCGCACCATTGCACTCCAGCCTGAGTTACAGAGTGAGACTCCATTTCAGAAAAAGAGAGAGAGAGAGAGAGAGAGAGAGAAATTGAAATCTGGATAAATGTTGGCATCATTTCTAAAGGTGATGTTAAACACTCTCCTTAGTAAAAGGTTATGCAAAGACCTGGAAAGGGGAAATCTATCGGGCTTTTCCTTATTTCCTACCTAGGACAAAGCTTCTTACTGCCCCTGTTGGCCCATCCTAGGTTCCTGGGCCCATCTTGGCTGAGCCTTCATCAGGTTTGCTTTGGTCCAGATGACCCTCTCTGGTCTGTTGTTGCTGACCAGAGGCAGGACTCGGCACTTACCTCCAAACCACTCTCCTCCGAGTCCCTGAACACCTATCTCCTTTACCATGTATTTTTGTGCTACTTTGGCCTAATCCATGGAAATGGACTTCCTTCCATCTAGGTTCCAACTTTCAAATTTGTATTTGTCATCATGCCACTGTCTCAGTCACTTCAAGAAGCTGTTCCCTAAGTCCCAATCCAGTGGCTTTATGCTTAGTAACTGAGTCCTGTCTGCCTGTTGGGAGTCTTGGTGGCGAACATTTCTGAAAGTTTTACTGAGACTGTGGTTCCCCCTCGAATACAGCCTTCCCTTCCCAGCTGCATTCTGGTGTGTCTAGGAGTGGGGAGGGGCTGTCTTCCATGCCCTTTTTCTGTCCAAGCACTGAAGTCCTGAGGCAGATCCTCCTCCCACTCCTTTCTTGCCTTCCCTGGGCAGGGAGTAGAACATCCTATCTCACACCCAAGTCCCAGTTAGTTGTATTGGGAAGGTAAGTAATAACAGGTAGGATGACCTGTTATCCCCTTCACACACATCAGTGGCTTACTCTCTTAGCTAATGCTTGATTTCTTCCCATCCCTTACACACACACGAATCATAACTGAGATAGGGAAATCAAAAATCACTGGGAGCAGTGGCTCATACCCATAATCTCAGCACTTTGGGAGGCCAAGGTGGGAGGATCACTTGAGCCCCGGAGTTCATTACCAGCCTGGCAACGAAATGAAACCCTGTCTCTACAAAAAAAGGTTTTAAAAAATTAGCCAGGTGTACTGGCATGTGCCTGTAGTACAAACTACTCAGTAGGGTGAAGCAGGAGGATCGCTTGAGCCCAGGAGGTCAAGGCTGCAGTGAGCCATGATCATACCACTGCGCTACGGCCTGGGCAATGAAGTGAGACTCCATTTCAAAAAAAAAAAATCATGCCTTACTAGGAAAAGACTGGTGATTCCTACTACCACTCTGCACAGGTCCATGTCTTCAGAGATGAGGCTTTTCTGTTCATTTCCTGAGGTTTCTCAGCTTACTTTTCCCCTACTTAAAATAAAAAGAACAAAAACAGGCTGGCTATACAGTATAGTTGTTAAAAGCTCAAACTAGAAAACGGGTTCAAATCTTGGCTCTATCATTTATTAGTCCCTTGACATTGGGCAAGTCCCTAGTAGTTCTATCTTTTGTGAAATGGTAATAAGGTTATTTTGCAAAAAATAAGATGATACCTGAACAGTACTGAGGATATGGTAGGCACACAGTAAATTGTGATAATTATTAGTATTGCACTTTCTAAACTGAAAACTAAAGAATCCCCAAACTGGAAGAAATCTTTCTATGATAATTTGCTGTAAAGTTAAAGGCTGTTTGTACTAACCTGATATTTTTCTGAATCCCCACATTCAAGAACTGGGAATTCTGGATATTCATACTTTTTTTTAGAAACAGTAAATATTAATTCATGGACAATGTGGAGAATCCAGTTTGAACCTATCAGAAAAATCAGAGAATAAAAACTCATTACGGAGTCTTGATGTAACAAGAGCACGTTACTTTAGCATATACATGATAAAAATTAAAATCTATAACCATTCCCTGATGTGTATATTTAGTTCTTCTGTGTTTGAAATAACTTGGGCTATGGAAAGAAATGGTTTGATGGAAAACAGCATTTACCTATAACTAGTATAAAATTCAACTTATTTCTCAGATGTCTCCTTTAACAAGGGACAATGCTTCATTTTGAATCTAGAATATGTTTCTTATAGAACAATGTTATGTTATAGAAAGTTTATTATAAGTTATTTATATTATTTTACATTAAATTAATATGTATTTTCTACAGGAATCTATAATTTTGATTTTATGAAAACACAGCATCAGTTAAGAAAAAAACATTAAATGAGGTTGGCTTTAATAAACAACAGTAAAAAGAATCAAAAGGAAATGGTAGAAAGCAGGATAATTTAGATTCTTCAAGTTTTATTTTCCATTGATGAAGGATCTTTGTAAAAGGGATTGGAGAAACTGACGGAGCAGTATTTGATCCTGAAAAATAATCTGTAACGTGGAAATCATCATGTAAAGTATAGAAGTGGCTGTGCTTTTGTCCAGCCGGAAATCAAGACAAAATCACTACTACTGTCACTGCTCCTTGCCAACTGGACTTTCCCGCATTCATGCAACTCCCTTCCAGGCCCGTCAGCCATCCCCTTCCGCTCTCCATCCTCCATAATGGCCTTTCTGCACAGAGCTCTTCCTTCAGACACTGGGGTTTTTTAATCTAGCAATTCTATGTACTGATTACATAAGCTACGTACTTAACCACGGTGGCCTTCCTCCTCACTGATGCTCAGTCAGATTCCTGCAGTGAGGAACCGCCTTCGTCCCACTTTTGTCTCACACCCTCCCCAACCTACTCACTATAAGAAGTGTGCTTGTAGGAAACGACTTGTTATTTACCGCACTTTGGATAAGATGCTAGCACGATGTCATCATGTCTGGCTTCGAATGTATCCAGCGCTTGGAAAGTTTCTGAGGTGCACATGGTGATGGGGTAAGGAATCCCCTGATAGGTGAAAAATAAACGAGAAAGTGCAGTTTCTTTAGATTTTTCTAAAGCTTCATCAATGTACTCAATAAATTTGGATTTATCAGCCATGGTAGCTCCCTGCAAATGAACCTGCTCTGTGGCTGTCCAGGGGGAGTGATTGCTTTTAATGGAATTGGGCAGGGGCTGGAATAAAGGGCTCCTCCCAGGCACATGAAAAAGAAATCATTTAATTCTCATCCACCCTCCCTCAACTTTTGCATATCCTCCTGGCAAAAGCTAAACCACAGGTGCAAAACAGACTGATGATCAGGGAATATTACCCCACGGGTTGATTACATAACCATTTAGGCAATCTGCCCAGTGAAAGTAAGAATGGGATATCCTAATAGAAGAGAATATATATTAAATGTCTAACAAATAGGTATTGAATCAGGCACGCAATTTTTCTATTAGAAATTCACACAATGAAATCTCAGTTCTCTCCTGGGTTGATACATTTTTACACATATCCTATGTGGTGTGAAAGGAAGCAATGGGATTGTAAGGTAATTTGGTGGGGTGGAAAAGAGACCAAATTTGGGGGCAGTCTCGGGCACTCTCATTTACTGGCTCAATAGATTTACAAGTCTAAAGACCTGAATTTGAACCTTGACTCTACCATTTACTAGTTGTGTTACTCTGAGCTAATGATAATATATCTCTAAAAGTTTATGTAAAATTGTTAACAGTGGAAATGTATCTGAGTTATCCCATATGGGTCTGCAGCAACCTCAATTCTTGCCTCCTCAGAAGAAAGAACTGACTGAGGGTATAAGGCAGAAAAAGAGACTGACACAAGTTTCAGAGCAGGAGTGAAAGTTTACTAAAAGCTTTAGAGCAGAAAAGAAAGGAAAGTACACTTAGAAGAGACCCAAGTGGGTGACTTGAAGAGCAAGTGCAATGTTTAACCTTGACGCTAGGCCTTCATAGGCTGGCCCACTTCCGGCATCTCACACCCCTTTCCCATGATTCTTCCCTTAGAGTGGGCTGCCCTCCTTACCCTGGGGAAGTGAGCATGTGCAGTGTGTTTAGGAAGCTGTACGCATGCCCATCTGAGGTTTTCTTCCCTTTTCTAGTGTAGCGCCCCCAGAAGGTCAGAAGATGTCATTGTGTCTCTTAATGTACATGCTGGGGAAGTTGCTTCTCCCTGGCACATTTCCTAGGGTAGAGTCTTTCTGTAGCAGTCTTTTTCCTTTGGGTAAGTTGGCTCATACTTCCCATCTCCCAGCAGCTTGGTGTGGCCCTGTGGCTAAAACAGGAAGTTGATGGCTCTCCAATCTTCTTTAGTCCCTTCCCCATACCTGGAAGGCAGATATTGTGTTGGCAAGTCAGATTTGCTAATTCGGAGGAAAGCAGCACTGAGGAAATCTGGCTCACCAGATGGCCTTGAGAAACAGAGCCACCCTCCCACGACTCACACTGTATAATAGGCTTCCTTCTGACCTGTATGTGAAAGAGCATAATTGTTCATCTTGTTTGAACCACTGAATTATTGGAGTCTCAACAATTACAATTATAATTACTCAAAAATTATAGCAGTTTAGCCTATATCCTATCTGGTACATTTTCTGGGTCAAAATTTACGTTTTGGCCTCTTGATAAGTCAAATATCTATAAACATAGACTATATATTTCTTCTTATTTCTCTCCCATTCTCTTCCCCACATCTTTCTTCTTACCCTTCTTCCATTTTCCTAAGGTAATTTTTTTCACTGTATCTACCTTTCTCTTAACCAATGTTAACCAGTTAAGAAGATGACTTCTAGTTATACTTAGTTACCTGGCTGTATCATCATTCATGTATCAGTTAAAAGGATAGCTAACATTATTGAGTACTTGCATGTACCACATCCCCTTCCAAATTGCTAAGATTACAGGAATGATTTGATGTAATTTCCTAACAGCCTTATGAAATGGGTGTTGCTTTGCTACCTTTTGCAGTTAGGTTAATTGGGGCCACAGGGGCTAAGTGACTTCTAGAGGACAAGAGGTGAGGGTTGGTGGGAGAAAAAGCAGGTTTTAATCGGAGAGCCAGCAAACAGAGAAGATGGTGAACTAGTGTTCTAAAGTACCACATTAGATTTTAAAATTGACCATAGGTTTTTTAAGGGGGAAATGCATGACAGACGTGTGGGAGTGGTACAGGATGCAGGGTCTGTATGTCTTGTTTCAATGGCTATCTTGGGTAATTGCCTGTTTGGAGGTCTGGTTGGCATTATCTTGATTTCAGCCCAATGGTAGTGGAGAAAATGTTGTGACTCCCCTTAAGCACGAGGATTCTGCAGTTGGGGCTCTGCATCTGGTTTGTTTCAAGATTAGCTTCTGGAATTTTTTAACCAAGAAAACAATTAGATAAACATGCACTGCCAGAGGAAAATGTCTAGAGAGGGAGGGAATGAAGGGGTAAGAGGGCAGGAAAAGAAAGTGAGTGATTAAAAAATATTTTAAAAGCTGAGGTTCCTAGTTACAGTTGCAGAGTCAGGCTTTGGAGGGGCTAGGATCGGAACGCAGGCAGTACAGCTAAGTTCAGGCAGAAAGACACTTACAATGAGATCTCAGAGGGCACAGGTTTAATTGTTAGTGCCAGTGATTTCTTTGGTGCTTCTTTACCTGCTATGAGAAACAAGGTCATGGGAATTTTTCACTGCCAAAAAAAAAAAAAAATCTTATTTTCTGCGGAGAGAGATTTTTATGACCACAAGGGCAATAAATATCCTGGGTTCCAGTGACACAGGATGACACATCCCTGCCTAGGCCCAGCTTGGCCTGGTGCCTCAGCCTGCCTGTGTTACAGCTCATTCAGTCCCCTGTCTACTCAGGCCCATGGCTCCAGGGCTGGCTCAGCCTGGCTGCTGCTTTCCATTGTGTGGGGTGGCTGCAGGCACGAGCAGCAGGTGGAGGGCCACAGTGTTACAGCCTTTTTTGTACCCACTTTTGGAGGATCCCACGTTCTTGTCCTGCATCCAAGAAGAATGAGGTTATGCTGTAAACTGAAGAGTGAGAAAGGCAAAGAAGAGTTTTATTGAGCAACGGAACAGCTCTCAGCAGAGAGGGGACTCAAAGAGGGTGGTCCACCGCCCTAAGGCCGGTAGTCCTCCTTAGCCTCAAGGTGGGTACAAAAAAAGCTGTAATACTGTATCCCCCGCCCTCCACTGGTGTAAGGCAGCCACCCCACATGAAGGAAGGAGTGGCAGGGCCAGGCCAGCCCAGGGGCAGCAGGCTGGAGTGGGGCAATGGGACTAAAAGAGCTGTTCGCATGCTGTAACACTCCCTCTGAGGGTTAGGGTTGCTGACATCCCTGTTTGGGTGTCACCATGTTCCCCTCATCCAGACACCATTGCCCAAGGTGGAAGCAGGTTGTGGCATCACTGGCCCAGCTGCGGGCTGAGTGTGGATCCCGCCGCAAGCACTGGATCTGGGTGGGAGCGCAAGCAAAGTGCAGCTAGGTGGGCTGGGTGCCTCCTGCAGTGGGCCCACGGCCTGGGCAGGGGAGTTGCCAGTCTTAGAGGTTTCTGGCTGGCTAAGCAGCCAAGAAAAAACCTGCATCACTAAAACATTTTATTTAATAACAGCATTTTGGGACAAACACTATATTCTCTCTCTCTGTGTGTGTGTGTGTGTGTGTATATATATACACACATATATCAATTGTAAGATGCATTCATATTTCTGAAATGTAAACATATGGAAACAAGTACATCTTGGAATTGAGGAAATTCTATATGTCAACAGAAAGTGAGAGGCAGGTGGTGGATGTGTGAGAGTAGTTTTTTATCTCCATTTTACAGAGGGAAAAGAACTGACCAGAGAGGGTTCCTAGCTAGGCACTGGTATCCAGGTTTCATTATGTAGGTGAATACTTATTTTTAAAAGAAGCAGTATGTGAAGAGGTAAAATCAGAATATCTGAATATCTTAGTATTTTTATATGTCTATACATCACTCCCACTTGAAGGCCTTCTTGCCTTACATAATAATGCGATATTAGCTGTAGTTGTGAAGGTGTATTTAAGATTTTCCCTCCCCAAAAAAGAAAAGAGGAGCAGGACTGAACTCCTTGCCAATCTGCTTAGTGAGATTATCCTTACATTACAAAGAGTCTGTTTCCCTCTGGTCAGGTAGAATTTAAGACGTTGATTCAAACATGGTTGTTGTTGGCTTGCTTCTTAGTGAGTAAAACACTTAAAAAGACAATGGGTTGGATCTTGTTCCGACACCAATGCCTGTAATTATAGGAGGATTTAGGAGGCTCTTTGGGATTGGTAATGTGAACTCTGATTCTTAGTTTGCCTAGGCTTAGGTCAACCTGTTAACCTTACAATTCTACATACTCAACACTTAGTTGTCTGGAAAGTATAATGGAGGGAAATAGCATGAATAATTATAGAATAACCTGTATCGTGTGATATATTTGTACTGTCATACCTATGAGTGCCGGTGGGTCTCATGTTATATGACGTCCTAGCTTCCTATTCAGCTCCTTGTGTCTTACCCATATTGGAGATAAATTACTGCTGACCTATCAGGCTTTGCCAGCTGTGGCCTGGCTCATGCCCCAGAGGCAGCTGCATGGGAGGCTTATTTAAAGTTTCTTTCTGGCTGGGTGTGGTGGCTCATGCCTGTAATACCAGCACTTCAGGAGGCTGAGGCAGTCAGACTGCTTGAGCTCAGGAGTTTGAGACCAGCCTGAACAACATGGTGAAACTCTGTCTCTACTAAAAAAACAAAAAAACAAAAAAAACAAAAAAACAAAACAATTAGCTGAGTGTGGTGGTGCATGCCTGTAGTCCCAACTACCTGGGAGGTCGAGGTATGAGAATCGCTTGAACCCGGGAGGCAGGGGTTGTAGTGAGCTGAGATTGTGCCACTGCACTCCAGCCTGGGTGATAGAGTGAGACTCCGTCTCAAAAAATAATAATAATAAAATAAAGTTTATTTCTTTGGCATTAAAGGCACCATGCCCTCTTACGTTCTTTTCCTTTGTTTTTTCCAGTCTATAGACATATACAAAAAAAGAAGAAGGAGGAGGAGGAGGAGAAGAGGAAGAAGAAGAAGAAGAAGAAGAAGAAGAAGAAGAAGAAGAAGAAGAAGAAGAAGAAGAAGAAGAAGA